ACTTGTAACCCCCAAGACATTCTCTCCTAGACAACAGCGGAGAAACTACAATGAAATTTGGGCAGAGGCACATCATAACTTTCTTTTTATCGTTTTTTCTTCTCAAACAAGATCATAGAACAAGTTATGGTGGTCGCAAAGCGCTCAACACAGCAAGAACAAAAATTATGCGGCTCATAAGACAGGGTAGATCTGTGTTATACGCCATTCCCCCATTTCCTTACAACTCTCTCTTTCGCTGACTTTCCAACTCTATCTTTCACAACCACAGCGGCCTGATTGCCAGTGTCTAGAGAAGGGGATGATCGCCTCGGAGCCGAGGATTGTACGCCCTGAAGAATACACTGAGCTACGAATGACAGTGCACGCCGAATTTGCCGCAGCACAGCCAGCAGTGAATTTACAATAGCTGCTACCAGCACATTGAAGTTTGCAATCAGGAAAAACTGCAAAGAAATTGCACAGCAGTTAGAAATACATCTAGGTTGACAACTCATTCATACAAAAAGTGCAGGATATTAATTGTCTTTACCGCGGCGATAATACCGACGATCGTAAGAAGAGTTTGTTTTGCAGCATCCCAGAAACCTCCACTGCTGAACCACCTGAACCAACCACCTCCTCCAGACCATCCTCCACCACCGGCTGAAGGAGGCAGTCTTTGCTGCCTTCTTTCAATTCGCATACCCAATTTTGGAAGCCCCGTCTTCTTCCACCCCAGGGCATTTTCCACTGCTTTCCTAGCTTCATCCTGAGAGGAAAAAATGTTGTGGTTTGTTATTGTGATATTCTGTTGGCCTATCAACTTTGAAGAATCAAGAGTAATTTTGGATTCTCACACAAACCAACAGCAGATAATCCTATGTGGAATGGCATTATTGCAGTAATGCATGCCTATCATCACATGCCAAATTAAGAGAACCACTGAATCCTATGACTCTATACAGTTCGACAGCAATCGGATTGGTGGTTTAGCACGATATTATCGTCATCATACCATATAAGATTACTACATCAACAATCACCATTCTAATTGTAAATGTTCACATGAGATTTTTTTTGTTTTTGCGGGGTAAATGTTCATATAATAAGATTAATAGATTATCACATCAACAATCACCATCCTGGATGTAATGCTCCCCATGAAAAAAAATCAACACATGCGGAGTATCACATAAGCCCACTAGTTAATTTTCCAAGCTAGATAAGGGGTTTGGCCAAGTTAATCCCTCGCCCAAATCCAATCCAGGCAGGGATGGCTAGTCAGTTCTATGATTCTCCTTCTTCAACACCATCGTATGATTTCGGCGCAAGCAAGATAGTAGCTAATAGGTTCAACTGGCAAGGTAATCAGTCAATCAATCAGAGGGGGGGGGGGGGGATTGGAGATGTTGTGCACGAACCTGCTTGCTGCGGCTGCGGCTGCCGGCGGCGGAGAAGAGGCAGCACGCGCGGGCGAAGCCACCGTAGGAGACGGAGACTAGATTCCTCCCGCATCGAGATCGAGATGTAGCGCGAGAGGACTCGCCGGCGGCGAAGAAGAGGGGGGCGTCGCCATCGCGGCGGAAAGCGCGGAGTTGCGGAGGAGGGGCGAGCGACATCGGCGAGTGGCTTGGGCAAGCTTAGCTTACGCCCATGGCTTCTTCAGGCCAATCCAGTCTACTGGGCTGGGCCTGGATGGGCTCTCCACCTACAGATCAGGCCCACAATGCTCGGTTTTTTTCTAAAAGAAAGAAAAATGGAACACAAACAAATTGCATACAAAGAATTGGGAATTTCCAGCAGAACATGAATAAACTGAGGGCAGTTTCACACCTCCACATAGGCAACAAACAGTGCAGCACACAGACTGGTCGTTACCCGTTAGATAAACAGGCGCCAAAATGCCAAAACATTGTACTGCTAACACATAGAGCCGTCTCAAGAGTAGTAAGCGTTAGGAGAGCTCTTGGTTCATTTGCTTGTGATGATGCACTAACCATATTACTCCTACCCAGTTAACAGGACATGTACTGGAGTACCTCGCAAAGGAAAACACATGCGGAATATATGTTTTATTATAAAGGCTAATGACACTAGTTGGAAGAGCCACAGCCACCGGCGGCGGGCTTGTCGTCGTCTCCATGTCCATGTCCATTAGCGGGAGGTTGGCGGTGCTGGTTGGAGAGGAGCTGGGCCTTGAGCTCGGAGAGAAGCCTCTGCCTCTCCTTGTGTAGCAGCTCTGCCGCTTTCTTCAGCCTCTGGTTCTGCTCCATGATGTAGCAGTTCTGCAGCACAAGCTCCGAGTTCACCTTCTCCATCTCCTCCCTCCTCACTCGATCTTACTAAATCCATCGCAACATATATACAAGCAGTTCATAAGATAGGGAGAATTATGTAACAAAGAGCATATATATATATTGAGATAGAGAAAACAAAGGAAAGCAGAGGGCATCTTACATCAAGTCAAGAAACCACCTCCTTCCTCCTTGCGAGGCTGCGATGTGAGCGGAATGGATGCAGCTCTAGCTCCAGCTCCTGCTAGTGAAGAACTGAAGATTGAAGCAGCAACAGCACAAGGTAAGGTATTTATAGAAGCAAAAGGAAGGAGCAGCAGTGCAGAATTGACATAGGTAACGTGAGCAGCTCGAATGGTCATCATTTCACTTGATCCAGCCCTCGGAGCGAGCCTATTAATGCAAGGCAGAGGCAGTGCAAGAGCATCATGAGAGCAGCAGATATGCTGGATTCTGTAGGCCGTGGAAGGAAAATGATGGCAAAAGGTTAGGCCCGGCCACCACGAGATTCGCTAGCTATCATGACGGCATCGCATCCCTTCCATCTCCTTCCCTTTCCCTTCCTTTTGTTGCTTTGGCTTTGACTCTTCTGCTTGTTCGTCTCTGCTGGCTGCCTCCCTATGACCAGAACAAACATGGAGAGGGTGTGAGTAGCAGGCAGGAAGGATGGCATCATTTCAATACAGAACACAAAGGGACCTAATAAAATCGGCGGCATAAAGCTGTAGTAATGGGTTAAAGTTACGCAGCTCCACTGTACAAGCAGTAACTGCGACATCCCAGTCCATACGACAATACATATAGTGCTACTAGTACAATTGGCAATCGAGCTTAGTACATTGTTTTAACTTACTAGAGTGGAGTTACAAAGTTGGGGTTACTCAACTACAACTACAATGATCTATAACAGACACTGATTAAGCCTCAGCGAGGGGCTTAGGTTCACTGTGGGGACTACAGCGCTGCATCTTCGGTCCAGTCAATCTGACGCCACTTCAGGTGGAAGGCGAAGGCGAAGCTTCAGCAAGCGACAAGGACCAAGCAGCTGCAAATAGTCGAGAAAAACTTTCAGCGAGAAAGATGCTAATAAGCAAAACAAATAGCAGCAAGAATTGAACTAACCACGTCCTGAATAAATATCCACATATTAGATGTTGTGCCGATTCTCTTCTCATCACCCGCGCTGAGTGCTTGACTTCAAGGGGGCAATGTGCCCCTCCTGAATCTCAAAACTGAACTGCAAGGAACAGCAGCAGAACAGCACCGATCATGCCAGCCATGACTGCTCTCCCCTTCATTTCTCAGCTTCTATGCATTGGACTTGAGGTCCCGTATGCAACAGTCTGCAATTTACTTCCAGGACGAAGAAGGTGCCTCTCCTGCACCTGAATGTGCAGGGTGCAACAACACCAAGAACCACAAGCTAACAAGATCAAGTGGATTGTTTAGCTCAGATATGTAGTTCTCGGTTCTTTTATGCCTGCTACCATCTACCAGCAAGAAATGAATCGGGTATGACATCCGATTTACACATTCAGGGCACGCTGGCAGGGTGCAGGCATGCCCAGGCCCCTCATCGGGGCCGGGCTAAGCGCAAACTAGCTTCAGGTTGTTGTTGGTGAGTCTGCACAAGTGAAAAAGGAACACATCAGCTGAGTGTTAATGCATAATCTATAAATTGCATCGAAGAAATATCAGAATAGATGTTGTATGTGCAATAATACATGTGTATAAACATAATAAAAGTCTCATGTCACAAAAATGTACCTTGAAAAAACTACTACCTTCCCTCCAAAAAAGAGTTCACTTTTAGACACAACTCAGGACAGGCAAACTTGTCTAGGTTCGTGTATAAAAGTGAAGTCTTATTGGGACAGAGGTAGTAAATCCTATGTCAAATGAACAATTGAACTATCAATAACTTCACGCACCTCTACAATGATATTTCTTGTAGTACATCAATTCAACTTGAACAATGAGAAAAGCGACAAGGATCTAAAGTACGGATACAAACCTGTGCAAATGGACGCATGGGTTCCTGTGGATGTACATATGTGACTCCTGGCCGTGAAGGCATAGCAAATTGTTGGGGAGTATGCATAAAAACAGATGACCTAATGGGAGCACCAGCATGACCAGGACTGTAAGGTGGTGGCATGGAACCATCCGGAGGTCTGTACCCAATCGCATTAGGCGATTGAGCCGGTGACCAGGGCCCAGGAATATGCTGTGCTATTGACTGAGGCTGCTGTTCAACAGGAACTGGAGACCCATGAGACCCAAGCTGAGGGAACTCAGTGTTGTAGTTAACAGCAGGGGCATACAAAGGTTGAATAGTGTATGAACCTCCATTAAATCCAAATCCAGGATCAAATCTTTGCATGTACCTGTAAAGCCATTCATGATGAGTTGGCTTGATACAAAAGGGCAGTCCTTGTCTTCACTGACATAACAAAAAAGTCAACAGGTAGTTTTAATAGAGTTACATTTTGGTTTGAAAGTCAGTCCCCATTGTTCTTTGTATCTTTAACATATTATCACATGATTACCTCCTGTTGATGTGTTTTACACAAGCTTCTCTTAGAATTAGAGTTTAAATTTGCAATCTAATAGTTATATGAATGAAATGCTTATATGGATGATTGCATAGATCACCCATGAGCTACTTTGATAGTTTAGGATGCACGTGAAATATTGAGAGTACTAAATGGTTCACCAATAATAAATAGGAACTGTACGGTGGAATGGCAAAACATTCTATAGCTAAAGAGTTACAAAAATAAAGTTTATTACGTTAAACGGACCTGTCATAGCTTCTGTCATAATCAGGATCCTTGCGATCTGACTCACGGTCTCGAAATATCGCCACCCTGTTGTTTTGCCTGTTTCTATTAAATGCAGGATCCTTCTCAGTCTTGTTTCTATTTACCCTGCTGCTAGACGAGGCAGTAGTCAAACTCCTTTCAAGGGTAATTTCAGGCCCTTCACCTAGCCTGTTACCTGAGCTTAGCTCCAAGGAACTGGACCTATGGAGAGTATTTGGCAAAGTTACTTCATCACCTGGTCTTCCATCAGCAGCATTGCCGCTGCTACTGTTGTTATTAAATATCCGTGCACGTGCCTTATTGTATTCCTCCTTTCTTTCTTCAACACTTTTCTGAAGGTTGGCTCTAGAAGAGTGAGCACCTGAACTGGAATTGTTATGGTAGTGCTTCTGAGGTCTTTGCTTGATAGCAACTTTGGCTATAGAGTTGCTCTCATCTTGAGGCAGATTAACTTGAATATCTGATAGGCGCACAGCAGGCAACCGGCACTCAGCTGATGTTTTGCGAAGGATGATACGAGAACCAGATCCATCAGGAAGGCCGTTATCTTGTAGAGCAATTGACTGGAGGAAATAATGCTGTGCCAGACGATGTGCAGCAAGACGCAGGTAAGAAGTAGGAAGACCATGGAAGTCAAACTCTGTCTGCGTAGGGTCATGAATGAACTTCAAAATGTCTTGCTCCATCCTTAGCACTACAATGAGATAAGACTGCTGTAAGGTACAAGCCACGAAGCATTTCTCAACTTACAACTTGTAGTTAGAAAGGTAGTCAATCATGAAGATACAACAGTATGATGCATCCGCTAATGTATTACCAAGTCGAGAGTATAAGATTGCAAGCAGAATAAGGAAAAAAATACAGAAGAAATTAACCAGTTAAGGTAATTGCAGATGAAGCCAATTCAACTTTACAAAGTCCTAGAACATCAGTAAGTGACAAGGCAGTAATTGACACCGTTTCACTTGCATGTCCGATACCACAGGACAGAAATGCTACATGATGTATGGCATTGCTTTACATGTCATGCTTTATTACTCCCTCTGTCCCTAAATATAAGGGATTTTGGTGGGATGTGACGCATCCTATTACAACGAATCTAGACAGGTGCGTCACATCCCACCAAAATCCCTTATATTTAGGGACGGTGGGAGTACAAATAGGATGCGTCACATCCCACCAAAATCCCTTATATTTAGGGACGGTGGGAGTACAATATAACTCACAATTTACAAAGTTTAGGTGGCTAAAACCTATTCAAAAATTCAAAGGCAGTGTGCAATCATGGGGCCAACAATGTTAGCACAGATTAAACAGAGCATGATAGCTCACATATGGGCAGGCATTCCAAACCAGCAGAATTAAGGATGAACATGGTGACAAGAGGCGTCACTAGTGCTAGCATTCAGGCATCACAAGTTGGCAAGTCTGCACATGATGTCGACGGCCCGCAATACAGGTCGAAACATGCACATAAGAAGAGTGCTCTAATAATCAAGTGCGACTTGTTACTGCTTGTAGAAACAGGGTAGCTAGGCCTATGATACGAAGCAGAGGAGGGTGCAGCAGGGGGGATGGGGATTCGAATATTATACCAGAGAGCCGCTCCCTCGGCTTCTCGAGCGCCTCCCGGAGGAACTGATCGAGCTGGTCAACCGAATCGGGGCGACCGGACGACGGGTGCTGCGGGTCGTCGGCATCGGCGTCGGCGAGGTCGGGAGAGGAGGAGACCCGGCGCGCGGAGGGGAGGTGGAGGCGGCTCATGGGCTCGTCGAGGTCGGCGGTCTCCCATGAGTCGGGCGGCGGCGGCGGGGGAGCCTCCATGGGCGATCTGTGCTGTGCTGTGCGTGGGGCTAGATGGCGCAGACGGGAAGAGCTCTCGCGGCCATGAGACGCGTGCGAGAGGGAGAGATCTGGGGAGCGGAGGCGGAGAGGCGAGGCGAGCTAGGGTTTGGATTGGATTTGCGGTTGCGGTGGTCGGGGTAGATAGGGAAGGTGGATATTGAGGTCGGAATCGGAAGGGAGGAAGATGTAATTTGGGTCGGAAAAGGGAAGGAATCTGAAGACGAGGCGGAGAAGGGGAGTGGTCGCGTCGCGTGCTCCCCTTCTCCGCACGCGAACTTACTTTATTACCCTCACACGTTTTCAATGTCTCCGCGCTCCGTCCAGGGGCAATTCAGTCTTAGTACTGCATCTCGGATTGTGAAGGTCAAGCCCAGCCCAGTAATGGCCTTGGGCTGTGGCCGTGCTGATGGAGCAAACGGACGGGATATTTTGGGCCTGCATGCGAAGGAAGGAATGATTCAGCCTTACTTAACTTCCTGCTCAGGATTTGGTTTTGCCCTCCCCTCAACTAAGTAGTAGATTCTCTACACCATACATGCTCTAACTAGTGTAGTGATTATTTTCTTTTTCTAGGCAAGGCAGATTATATTAAATAAAAAATAAATTATAATCTTCTTCTTGTTATGTATAACACTAAACAACTCCGACGCACGCCAAAAAAAATACTAGGAACGAGTATCGGCCACCATCTTCATCACCCTAAATATCAACAAACCGGTATCACCAAACAAACTAGTGCCCCAAACCATAGAATTGGCACGGCTAATTGGATCATCAGCAACCCAGTAGACAAGCTTATCCTAAATCTTGTTGAAGACCTTGTGAAAACTATATAAACTCTAAATAAAAAAAACCTAGGGCCTGTTTGGATGCCAGGGCTGCGGCTACGCCGTAGCCGGCACGAACAGTGCCGCACTCACTGTGCGCAGCTGCAGCTCTCGCAGTCAGCCTGTCGAACAGCCCCTATATAATCTAAAAGATCAAACCAACCAAAAATTATTCACAACCCCCCCCCCTCTGAAAGTTGGGGTTTTTTTTAAACTATTTGCCATCCTCTTTAAGTGTGCATTCCCAAATGTCATTCTCTTCATCATATTTGATTATTTGCCATCCAGACCCACTAGGTTGTTTTCGGTTTTGCCATTCTTAGGCTCTTCGCTGTCAGCAAGACAGGTTGGAAATGACCTTGATGCCCTCTAATCTCCTTTTCTCTATCACCTTTTCCCCCGAGCTCAACTATAGCCATCTCATGCTCGCCTGCCCAAGTCACCGTCGAGATTGTTGCATCTTGGCATCCTCAAGGTCTTCTAGGTTCAATTCATGGTTGTCGAGCTCACCCTTGGAGCCAACCCCGGGCTCCATGGTTGTGGAAGAAAACGGTAGCAAAAATCACTAAAACTTACTCAGGTATATATAGTAGTAATAGTTATTAAAAAGACAAGTGAAAGTTCGTCAATGACACGGCACATGTTTACACCTATAGAATGTTAATCTTGGGGTTTCCTATTAGCTATGCCAGGGATGCAACTGACGTGTCTCAGCGCTAGCTGCGGCAAGCCCCCTTCATGTTTAATTTTCTATGATAAAAATCATAAAATAGTTGAGTGGTAAAAAAATAAATTAAAACTATTAAATTTTGAGCTGATTTTTAAAATTTTGAATTGGAAGTTTAAAATTTTAAGTTGAAAGTTTTTAAATCTGAGTTAAATGTTTCAAAATGTGAGTTGAATGTTTTCATACCTTGAGTTGGAAGTTTTTAATTCTAAGTTGGAAGTTTCAAATCTAAACTTAAAAAGTTTTCAAATCTTCCAAATCCTCAGTTAAAAGTTTTAAATGGGAAAAGAGAAAGAAGATTAGCTGAACTGGTTAGTTCTTTGTGGTGGAACTAGTCCACCCGAGTTCGAATTTGGGTGCTCACATTTATGGCTAATTATTTTTTCAGTGGTAGGCAACGTATCCATCGACAGTGAGGCGTTTATGATGACTTTGTCAATCTCAAGATATGCCGGTACAAATTTTTGGAGGTGCTCATATGTGTGGGGTGCGTGTGCGTGCGCGTGGTGTGGACACCTGGGTATGTATTATTTTCTCAAAAGAAAAAAAAAGAAAGAAGGTTGGATAAGGTGTGCATTACTTCCGATTGTAGCTGGTATGGGCTAATATAGGATTGCTATTAATCTTACCTTAATCCCCGTGTGATGTGTGGCATGGCAGATTAATAAGATTAATAAGACGGAGCGTGCAGTATATTCTGTGATGAGATCCATCCATGTGAATGTGCACCATCCAGACCCGAGACGTAACGTACGTATACGCACCTACGTTAGGTAGGGAAAGACGACAGCTTAGCTATCTATCCCGTCTTCCTTGCTGTTCCAGTTACAGATCGGACGGCACAGTCAGCGCCACCCTCTCCTCCCTGCGCGCCGCCCCCCTACTCTACTAGTATTATACCATCTGTCAAATCATCGTCATCGTCGTCGTCTCCCCCAGTTGTTGTGATCGCCAATTCATCCCCGCCCTGCTGCCTCCATCCAACTCATCAGGAACCAACCCATCGATCGACCATGGATCTGCAGGAGGCGGCGATGGAAGCCAGGAACGGCCATCGGATCCCGCCGACGGAGGAGAAGGTCATCATCGACACGGATCCAGGGATCGGTACACTAATTCTGATTTCTCCACTTCTCCTACCTGCATCTGTGACTGTGATCCATCCATCCATCTTGACAATTACTAATTCATATCAATTCCCAGATGACAGCGTGGCGATCATGATGGCGTTCGAAGCTCCCGGCGTGAAGGTCGTCGGACTCACCACCATCTTCGGCAACTGCACTACCTCCCACGCCACCCGCAATGCCCTCATCCTGGCAAGCTTATTTTCTTTTCTTTCTTTCACCATGCCCCCTTTGCCTCGCCTTACCTGCTTTATCAAATTAATGAGATTACTCAACTGAAAATTGTTCATGTACAGTGCGACAGAGCAGGCCGTCCTGAGGTGCCGGTAGCAGAGGGCAGCGCTGAGCCTCTCAAGGTAAGGTATTTACATGTTGTACTCCATTTCACTTACTACTACTCCACTCTAATTGCTAATTATTTCTTCATTCTATCATTTCGCACATATGTATATGCATCAGTGGTTAATTAATTGCCATATTATATCATCAACGCTTTTACTGACTGAATCATTCTAGTCAAGCTCGAACCTTTCCTGCACTTTTACATCTCCTGCAGCTTCTATATTTGTGCCTGTTTTACATGCAAAAGTGCACTTCTCTTTTTTTTCTTTTGACAAATTAAGTTAGTTAGTGCTGTGCAAATCTTCAGAGCATTTGCTGAAAAAGCTCTGGTATACCACTTCGCGAATATTCACAATCCATCGCCTTTTCCTCAAGTTGCCTTGTTTATTCAGCTATGCAGTGGATTTCTGTATAAATAAAGCCAACCTTTGTGTGTTGCAGGGAGGGAAACCTCACGTTGCTGATTTTGTTCATGGATCGGATGGACTTGGTAACACGTCCTTTCCTGATCCTACCACCACCAACAAAGTTGAGCAGTCAGCTGCAGAGTTTCTGGTTGATAAGGTATCAGAATCTCCAGGAGAGATCTCTGTACTCGCCTTGGGCCCTCTCACTAATATCGCATTGGTATGTAATATGTGCTTTCTCTAACGCCTCTTAATTAATACTCTACTTACTAGGACCAAAACCTTATTTCTGGCAGTAACACTTTTGCTTTATTTCTTTCTCAGGCCATGAAGAAAGACTCCTCCTTTGCAAGCAAGGTTAAGAGGATAGTTGTGCTGGGTGGAGCTTTCTTTGCAGCTGGGAATGCCACCCCTTCAGCTGAAGCAAATGTAATTTTGTTACTACTACACTTGTCTGCTTCTGCAAATCAACTTCGGTTTTGTCTATAATGTTGCTCTGTTTCTGCATTTTTTCCCCCTCTTGCATTGCCTAAAGTTTATCCATTAGCTTCAAATAGTTTCTTATAGCCAACAGCACAATTACAAAAAGATTTCCTTGCAATTAAGATGGTTGCCTTTACATCTGTTCTTATACTCGAGAATCTGTACTAAAAGTCTGAAAGGACACTATCGTTTAATTTTACTATTAATTACCAAACTCTGAATTTCGGTGAGAAGAAAGCCGTCATAAAACTGACGAAATATTTACTTCCTCTGTTATCCACAGATCCATAGCGACCCAGAAGCAGCTGACATAGTTTTCACTTCTGGGGCAGATATCTACGTAGTTGGCCTTAACATAACAACCCAAGTCTACTTCACAGGTTCATGATCAGCCTATCATTTCAACTTTGCACCTTCAGTGTGAACTTTGACAGTAGTGCTGGATAACCAACTCACCAGGTGACATGCATTAAACATGTACAAAAAATTGCAGACAAGGATATGTTGGAGCTAAGGAACTCGAAAGGGAAGCACGCACAATTCCTTTGTGACATCTGCAAGTTCTACAGAGACTGGCATGTCCACTCCTACGGCGTCGATGGTCCGCACATGAAACATCTCTCCTTTCCTTCTTACAAGTTCAGGCTTTGGGAAATTAACGTTCCAGCTCACATTTGTGTGATTTCTTCAGCTCTTTTTCTCCATGATCCTGTGAGTTTCACCGCGCTAGTTCACCCCGAGTACTTCACGTTCAAGAAGGGCGTGGTGAGGGTTGAGACCCAGGGCATCTGCAAGGGGCATACTTCCATGGACATGGGACTGAAGAAGTAAGAAGATGCAGAGATTGTTACTGTCTATTTATTCAGAGAGGCTGGATATATATGCATTTGCAATTGATCATCTGCTTAACTGTTGCATTGGTGTATGCAGGTGGAATTCAGACAACCCGTGGACTGGTTACTCTCCGATCTCGGTTGCTTGGACTGTTGATGTTCCTAAGGTTCTGGCATATGCCAAGGAGCTACTCTTCAACGCACAATGAAAATGTAACCGGATCAGTGTCATCTCTCTCTCTCTCTCTCTCTGAACTCTGATGTGATTGTGTCAGAATTGGCATGCAAATATATCTTTTTTTTTGGGCACAAGCAGAGATATCTTGGCATTGTTGTGTACTGCAGAAATTGTATCATATCATTTATTCTGATGAATTGCAAATTATTGATAAATGTTCAGCAGCATCTGCTAGTAGTACTTGCTGGTGACATGATGATATCCTTGCTGAATCACCATGCTGATTAATTGTGTTCCTCGTGGGTCGAGCTGTGCCTGTCTTGGTAGATAAATAACTTCGGTGGTGCCAAAACTTTGGTATTGCCGTTACCTATTTCAGTCTTGTCGATTAAGTACAGTAAGCACTTCCATCTCATTAGTATGCGTTTGGATGGTTGGCACATGGTTTGGGGCGTGTGCTCTGGTGCACATCCTTACTACTCGACAGCCAGCTATCGATGTAAAACTTTTCTTGTAACATTTTCTTCCTATCTTAATTACATTGAATGACCTTCTTCGGCATTCCGGCAAAAAGAACAGTAAGCACTAGGCAGCCTTTACTGAATTATTTGCGCACCAAACAGACTTGGAGTGTACCAATATGCCTAGCGCATGAATATTGCAAAACAAACAAATACTCATAACTCACAGATTCTGAACATACATGCACCAGCTTTACAGCAGGAATTGGCAGTGTAATTTTACAAGTTTCTGCATTGGGCCGACTACTAGTACTAATATCCTTTTGGTTTTACCTGGGAAGGCGCAGCAAAGTGGCCATGCAGGCAGAGTAATTTGCCATTCATTCGTTGGATATTAGAAACATCCTAGAAGCGTCCGGCTCGAAATATAGCTTTCAAATTAAGTTCCGAATTATATATAAATATGTAGCATCACACACTGATCGATTTAGCTAGACATCATTTATTTGCTGGAGATGCTATCTACAAGTAGCTCAAGAATGAAGCATGGGCGCCTGATAACAACACTAGCTAGAAGCAGCAAGGTTAGTAGGAGCAAAGATGGGGAATTAAGCCGCTTTATTATGAGTGGAACGCATGAGCAAATGCATATGGCGAGCATGCATTCCTGAAAGGCAAGATTCTGCGACCAAAGTGTACATTCTGAATTTTGTTTAGGTGGATGAAACACATAGTATATTTCATGGGAAGGAGGGAAACTGGAAAACGGTGTGCTGCTGCTAGGCCTGACTCTTTGGGCTTGGACGCTTCTTCTCTCTCGCTTCTGCAACCAGAGCATATACCCCAATCTGCCACGCGTGCCGGCCGTTACTAATCCCTCATCACTAATTGTATGCATGATCTACTGATGCATTGCATCTCTGTTCTGTTCTTGACCAGACCGTACTCTCGTTTTGGAGAATGAGAGGTCAGGAATTGAAGCAGCTAGCTAGAGAAAGAGGCTGCAGGGGAGAGTCCAAATTAAACCAACCACCACGTTGTTATGTGTTGCTTGCTTGGTGCTAGAGTGCTAGTAATGCACTAGTCCAAATTAAATTCTTCATGTATTTTAGGATGTAGTATATGATATTATTAAGTTTATTGATGGTGATTTTCTGGATGGTTGAATGCATCTGCAAACTGAAAGAGTGGCCGGTGTGAATGCAGTGCTTAATTGGAATCCGACAGTGGGTAATGGAGGAGATGGGCCAGTAGGGTTGGTGACTGTTAGACGCTAGCACATCCAGGCGATTAATACGACTACTGTCATACGTACTGTACATGTCATGCTACATTATATCGATCTGTACATTCTCTTGGTCATGCATATTACAGCGCCATATCCTATATATCGTACCTACGACCAAAATTAAACTAAACGCTCTCTGAAAAACCAATCAACAAAATACATACAACCTCATGTTCATGTAGGGGTATAAACTATAATTAATGTTCATACAAGGAGTATCACTATCATGTTATCGATCAAGCTGCTGCTATGCTAGGTGGAGGATGGCAATATTGCATTGATGTCGCCCGGGTTCGTTGGGCCAGTGGCTGCTAACCGAATTTAATTCCATCCTCCGCTGCTGCTGCGCCAGCCCGGTCAGCCTCCCAAGACCAAAGTGAACATATGGCCCTGTCTAGTTCCTTAAAAAACTTTTCGCAAAAACATCATATCAAATCTTTGGACATAGGTATAGAATATTAAATATAGATAAAAAGAAAAACTAAGAACCCATTCCCAGCAAGACGGGGAAATGGGGGCAGCGATCGATTTTGTTTTCTTTGCGCTTTGGGTGCAGAGTGACAGTGACATTGACATCCCGAGCTGGCGGCTGGGCTGCCTATATTTACACCTCCACACCAACGCAAATCGATCGCGCCACCACCCCCTCTCCTCTCACACTATCAATTGCTCTTGTCATCTCTGATCTGCCTGCCGCTGCGCCAGCTGCCTCCTCCGATCTCTCTCTCACTCTCACACACACGTACTAGCTAGCAAGTGCACACAGACAATGTGACTCTGTGAGAGATCTATCGGGCATGGAGGAGGAGAGCAGCACGCTCATACGGCGCCGGACTAGTTTGCCGGCGACCACGGTGATGATGGTGGTCCTCCTCCTCCTCCTCTGCTGTAACTGTAAGCTGCATGCTCTGCCCTCCATATCTGCTCCCCCACTTTTACTAGTATTAAATTCTAGCTATCTACTACTCAAATTCATTTACTGCTGAAACCTCAACTCCCATAATGTGACGTATAGGTGGTGTCGAGGTGGTGGTGGCTACGGCTGATGAGTCGTCTCCGGCGCCGGTCGGCAAAGGAGGAAGTGATCATGGCAGTTGCCCCGGCGGCGACGGCGACGGCGAAGGGTACAGGAAGCAGCTGTGGGTGTTTGGCGACTCGTACGCGGACACGGGAAACCTGGGTAACCTTGGGAGGGAGCTGACCCACGCCTGGTACTACCCCTACGGCATCACCTTCCCGCGACACCCCACCGGCCGCTTCTCCGACGGCCGCGTCCTCACCGACTTCGTTGGTACGCCCACGCCTCCGCCATCTCTCTCTATATATCTTCATGCTATGCTAATTAATTACTCCTACTGTCATACGTACTGTACATGTCATGCTACATTATATCGATCTGTACATTCTCTTGGTCATGCATATTACAGCGCCATATCCCATATATCGTACCTACGACCAAAATTAAACTAAACGCTCTCTGAAAAACCAATCAACAAAATACATACAACCTCATGTTCATGTAGGGGTATAAACTATAATTAATGTTCATACAAGGAGTATCACTATCGATCAAGCTGCTGCTATGCTAGGTGGAGGATGGCAATATTGCATTGATGTCGCCCGGGTTCGTTGGGCCAGTGGCTGCTAACCGAATTTAATTCCATCCTCCGCTGCTGCTGCGCCAGCCCGGCCAGCCTCCCAAGACCAAAGTGAACATATGGCCCTGTCTAGTTCCTTAAAAAACTTTTCGCAAAAACATTATATCAAATCTCTGTACATAGGTATAGAATATTAAATATAGATAAAAAGAAAAACTAATTGCACAGTTTATATGTAAATCACGAAATGAATCTTTTAAACCTAATTAATCCATGATTAGTCATAAGTGCTACAACAACCCACATGTGCTAATAACGGCTTAATTAGGCTCAAAAGATTCTTCTCGCGGTTTCCATACGAGTTATGAAATTAGTTTTTTTCATTCGTGTCCGAAAACCCTTTCCGACATATGATCAAACATCCGATGTGACATCTAAAATTTTCATTTCATCAACTAAACAGGCCCATATATGTACTGGAGTACGTGCCTTTTATACAGACAGACTACTACTAGTCACTCATTTTACAACCTGCACAATGGAAATTTACCACTCAAAATTTTTCATAGGCAGACTGTACATCATTTTCGTTTCTAACCAAAATATATATAGGTGATCACAAAAATCACAATGATAGGCAAATAGGAGTAACTAACTAAAAGAAGAATCTTTGCATTATATTGGCTCTTTTTCGCGGATGGAAATTGACTCAGTTCATCGCATCTGGATAATTCATTCATCATTCATTCATTCTTTGTTTGTTTTTTCATGCCGACTTAACTGACCGCACATGCATAAAAGCCTCAGGCTGCAGCTAGTCCATGCCTGCACTGCATAGTGACGACGTCTGTATTATTCTCTTTCTTTTTACCTACCCTATAATAGGTCTCCAAATTAGCACGCCCTGTCCTATTGTTACTGTTATTGCTCTCACTCCTCGCTTAATTAGGCTTGACATGTACATGTCCAAAACATAAAACACATTTATCAATCGAACCGACATTTTGGTTGCAAATCTAGTGAACAACTAAGCAAGTTATGGTGAGGCGTCACAATCAACTGTACCCTGCCCTTCAAAACAATAACTAAGGCTGTGTTTTTCAGCGCAAAGTTTGGATTTTGGTTGAAATTGAAGATGATGTGATTGAAAAGTTGTGTGTGTATGACAGGTTGATGTGATGGAAAAGGACTGAAGTTTGGATCCAAACTTTAGATCTAAACACAGCCTAACTGTATATCAGTAACAGTCCTGTCGCGCGCCGTTTCTGAAGAGATGATATATAGATCCTCTGTGTTTAATTTGCATTCAGCATTTATCAGTTTTATCTAATTAATTGTTGTCTTAAAAGATGTACTAAAATTAAACTGGCTAGTATTTGATGAACTCTCTCTTTTTCTATACAAGTAGCACTTGTTTTTAGAGGTAAGTTCCTTCCTAGTGTTCTTCAGACTAGTTTAAGAGGTTGAGCAGCATTCATGTTTAGTTGCAGCCTAGCTATTGGAGGCAAACTAAACTAAAAGCTGAATTCGCTCTCACCTGCTCTACTGACGTGCGTATGTTCCATACCGCATCTCATGTGCCGGCAGTATTTTATTTATTTTTAATCACTCTCTCAACAACTAGTAAAAGCTAATGTATCCTGCACATTTGTAGAGAGTAATTAAACAGCACGCGCGCGTGCGTGCATCTATCATGTCAGATAATGTGCCATACAATTATCTGGCTGAAAGCTAACCTTAACCATTAAAGTATTTTGCAGTGTTTATTTGTTTGTTTTTATAACAGAGATAATAGTAATAAGGTTTTAACTGGTACGTAGTATGGTTGAATTTAAAATATTGGCGGGTGCAGCTTCGGCCGTTGGCATCGCGACGCCGGTGGCGTACAAGCTGCGGCGGCGCGGCGGGCACGGCGGCGAGGTGGCGTCGCGCGGGATGAACTTCGCGGTGGGCGGGTCGGGCGTGCTGGACACGGGCTACTTCCAGCGCAACATCAGCTCGCAGATCGACCTGTTCCAGAAGCAGCTGCGCGGCTGCGGCCCCACCGGCGTCGCGCTCGTCGTCGTCTCCGGCAACGACTACTCCGCCGTCGTAGACAAGAACAACGGCACAAGCGTAAGCTGCAATTGCAATACAACCACACCGGCCATCTCGATCTATATATCATATCTCCTCTCTGAACATGCATGTATGAACAGGAGGCGGCGATCGCGTACATCCCGACGGTGGTGAGGGGGCTGCGGGAGCAACTCCGGCGGCTGCGCGACGAGGTAGGGATGAAGAAGGTGGTGGTGACCAACCTCCACCCCATGGGCTGCACCCCGTACTTCACGCGGCTGCTCAACTACTCCGGCTGCGACACGCTGGCCAACGCCGGGTCCGACCAGCACAACGCCGCCCTCCGCTCCGTCCTCCACGACCTCGACCCCGCCAACACCACCTTCCTCCTCCTCGACCTCCACACCCCCTTCCTCAACCTCATCACCGCCGCCGCCGACGACAAGTTCCCGGTGCGGCTGCGGCCGTGCTGCGAGACGTTCACGGCGGACGGCCACTGCGGGCAGGAGGACGAAGCCGGCAACAAGCAGTACACGGTGTGCGACGACCCGGAGCGGCACTTCTACTGGGACGACGTGCACCCCACGCAGGCCGCCTGGGCCGCCGTCGCCCAAGCCTTCACCCCCGCCATCCACCGCTTCCTCTCCACCTGAACGAACGAATGAATACTCACCAACCAGCTTTCTCATTTCCGACGAAATTCCGCGAAATTTCGACGTTTCTATATGGCTCGGAATTAAGTTTCGATTCGAATTTCGAAGGTTAAACAGTAGATTTGATCGAAATTCAGTAGATTTGCTCCTTGCACTTCTTCTTCTTCTTCTTCTTCGTCTTCTTGAACAACTTTTTTTGGGGCCTATCTAATTTATTATTACCTTTGGATGATGATTTGTTGCAACTGGATAGCAGTATTACTGATTTTTTTTTTTGAGCAAAGGGCGAGAGCCCTCCATTTCCATTAATAGAAATGAAAAAGTATCTACCAGTCTACAGAAAGCAGTAATACTGATGCCGGAATACTTCAACCAATTAAAGAACCCTATAAAAAAACCCCAAAAACATTGCCTTTTGGAACCCATAAGCAAAAAGGACATTAAGTTAATCGTCTGACCTTCTACAGATTTACTGTTACACAATCGATCACCAGGAGGCCTCCCTCGCTCGCTTTCTTTCTACTGTTACACTCTGCTCGCGTTACAACTAACGGGTTGTTTGGCTGAGGTCTCACCCTTTGCTATTAAGAAGAAGATGAACACAAAGGCTCTAGCAGCTACATAAATTTAATCAACCATGGGCAATTCTCAAAACACATGATAGTTCTATGTTGTATGCACTTGATTGTCCTATGCTTACCCAAGGGGGTGTCAGTAATAATTCTCCAGCAATCCCAACTGCTATGAGGCACCATTATTGTTGCCTTCTGTTGCTGCTGCTGGTGGTGGTGGTGGTGGTGTTGGTGTCACGTCCATTTGCTCGACGTTTGTCTCAGCAGCCTCGTACTCCGAAAGGAGGTCCATGAATTCGTTTAACAGCCGTTGGACCTTGCGGTTCGTAGCCATGGAAGGTAGTATATCTTCCCTTAGGAGTTTGTGTTTCTTCATTCCCTGCAGATTTACCATACTTGAGTTCACAGGCTCAAAGTGGTAAATAAACATCACGTCCAAGAAAACATAGAATTATCAGGCCATCTATCAGACAGAGAGCCTTACAAGAACATCAGGATCCCATGATGGATTTTTCAAATCAGCAGATGATGCAGCGTCAACCATGCCCATCGGAGGACCAAGAAAGCTCTCACAAACTTCACGTAGACGAGATTCATCTGCCTCTCTGAACGAAACAAAGAACAAGCAATATAATCATTTCCGCACAGCATCATAGACTGTTCTCATCAGATATAAAAGAATCACAAACTTTCTCAGCCAATTAAACATATAGAGCTGAGGTTGCAAAAAAGAAATGTTGCTAAGCCTCAGAAAAGGAGACTCTGTAGCCATTGTATTGAATTGATAAACAAACTAACCTTGCCAGAAATCTTATGTAGGATAAGAGGCATTGGCGATATTCCTGTGGAGACTTCAAAGCCAATGAAGCTGCCAGCTGGGTCTCTAAATGGGAGCGTGTCTGCACCCCATCATCGGTAACCCTGTAGTGCCAACAGTCAAACAAGTATACATTTAGAGCAAATTCTGCTATGTTAGTACACTAGCATGTCATGATTCTAGTTTCAAACGCTCATAAGACAAGAGCAACAATGGAAGTGTGCAAACCTGCTCCAAATAGGCTTTCTAGCCATGAATTTTCCTATATCGATCTGCAACTTGCCTAGCTCTCCACCTTGAGTAGAACTAAATGAGCTAGCAAAATTTGATGCTGGAAAGCAATCATCAGCTATCCTTAGCCAGCATTTCAGGCTGGTGTCATAAAGAAAAGCATGGCGACTGGCAAGCACAACTAAGGGCGAGCCACATCTTGAAAATTTAGCAGATATAACCTTTACTGTACCTGTCATATAACAAAGCAAGATCAACTTGCAAGAACAAGCCATTTTGGTCAACATCAATTTAGATGCACAAAAGTTCAGATTAACACTACATATGAAATATTTACCGGTATCTTTTCCAGCTGCCTCATCTGGAGATGTTACCAAAGAAGCCAAAGAATCATGCAAAACGCAAGTCCTGGTATAGAGGTCCCATATGTACATCAAACCCCTCCTTGTTACAAGAAGCAATTTCCAACACTCATCACAGTCTATAAAAACAGCTGCTGATCCCATCATCATCGCTGGCATTGCTCGCCTTCCACATTTTGTGTAAACCTGAACAATTAGACCAGTTGATTCGAGTGTTTAGGCTACCAGATTGTCAGAAAAATGAATGCACATGAAGGAATAAATAAAATCATATTCCAGCAATTATTGATAGATTTTGTAACTATTCCAAACTAAAACATGAAATAAATCTACAAGGAATTCCACTAAAGGGATATTAGATACCTGCAGGCAACCATCTTCACAGCCAACTGCCCAGAAATTCGCATTACCAGCCAAGACAGTCACCTTGGCAGAGATGCGATCTGACCAAAGAGTTTCTGTTCCTCTTGTACATGTAATCTCAGTTTCTTTTGTTGAAAAAGCACCACCAAGCCCAATCATGTCTCCTGCAGAACGTTCTACAGGCTTTGCTTCAAGGCGGACCGGTAAAGAATCCTCATTGTCTTTCTTATTGAATACATGGATAGAAAGTGAAGAGCAAGAGGCCAATGAGCCTGGAACTACAGATCCAGACTGTTCTATGCTCAACCTTCCATCACTGCCAGCACCAGCTGAAGCTTTTTGGATTACAAGACTCTCACTAATGTTAGTTCTTGCAGTAATGCCAGAGCGTTCCCTAACTCCACAATTATTACAGTTACCGCTAGCACTATAAGATGGTCTTGTTCCATTCTCTCCAAGGATCATTCGCTGATCCAGGGATGAAAAATCCACACCTTGATTCTGAGAACGGTTGGACATGTCCTGGTTGGAAGGAAATCCAACTGCCTCTGGAATAATCCTTTTCCGGCCATCAGGACGCCGGTATTCTCTTTGTTTCACTGGACTAGATAAACGAGGTGCTTTATTTATGTCATCAGCAGTGGAACCTGCAGTTTTCTTCTCATCTTCAGGTAAAGCTTCAGGAGCTTTCTGATTTGGAACGCTTGTAGACGGGTTAGGTGCATCTGTAGAAACTTTGGGGGGTGATTGAAATTGCTGGACACTGGAAACCTTTTTGCTTGCAGATTGTTTGGCCGATGCTTCTTCTAGCAGTAACTGAGCAGGGCTTTCAGCTATATTTGATTGCCTCCCTCTAACATCGCCATATCTATTCTTCTTCAATTCATCCAGTTCAGCATCCCTTAACCTGTATCCAAGCTCCTTTGCTTCAAAGTGAAAGGTAGCAACTGAACCATCCAAAGAGCAGGCAAAAAGTGAATAGCCATCAGGACTCCTGTCAGGGAAAAAGAGCAGTTGCTATTGAGCTTGCACATACACGGGATACTAATTATAGAATATGTTATATGGTCAAATTCACATACCAAGATAAATCAACCACACTTTGAGTGAAGAAATGCTTGGCAACAAACAATGGCCGGGCACTCGCTGTCGTCCAGACAGTAATAGTTCGGTCCTGACTCCCAATAGCAATAACATTATATGGTTGATGTTCTTTAGATGATGCTTTTGATGCTCCATTGGCCCATCCAGCTGGTGCAGCCTTTGCGTCTTGGCCAGAAGATAAATGCTTACGGAACATTGAGTGGTTAAACTTAACCACTACAACAGGTGCGTTATGCCCCAGAAAATCAAAGGTTGCTGACCATTCACCCCGTTCAAGCACAGGGGCTGAGTGCCTAGGTTTCTGAAAACCATGAGTTGTGGTTATGAAGTGGCCACAGGGAGACCAAGCAAGTCGCCTAAAAAATGTCGAACCAAGCTGCAAACACACACACACACATAGAAAATATTTTTCAGTAAGGAGGCTTTCTGCAAACAAGATATGTGAACCACAGAAATGTAATGACCAAGTCCAAATACACAACAATATAACAAAAACATACCGATTTTGACCAATGGCCTTCTGTCCTGTGAGCAAGACTCCAGTCACTCGTACGCCATATGATAACAGTCTTGTCATCTGATTGGCTTGCGATGAAAGAACCGATAGGATCCCATGTAACGCCTTTAACTAAACTGGAATGCCCTCGCAAGACAGCAGTGCATATGCCATTGGCCATGCTCCATATGTGAACAGTATTATCCAAACTGCCGCTAGCCAATGTCGAGTCATCAGGGGACCAATTAAGGTCAACCTACTTTACACATAAGAAATATAACTGTGTTCAACAATGAATCGATAAGGATCATGACAGTTTTAGTAAGAGATCTAAGTAACAGGTGACAGATTAAAATCTAATTATGTTAAGCATGACATGACTGAGATTTTGGCAGATAATTACCACATCGGCAGTATGCCCTCTTAAGGTCATAACAACCTTCCAGTTTTCTACATCTGGAGGTTCTCCACTTCCAAATTCAGATGTTCCAGTGCCAGCTTTTCTTTCATGAATTTGGATAACTTGATCGTCCGATCCTGAAGCAAGATAGCGGCCATGATGGGCCCATCTCACACAGTTTACTGTTCCAAAATGGTCTCGAATTGTAGCCAGCAACCTTTGGCTGGAATCATCACTGTCATTGTCTTTGGCCACTGATTTCATGCTCCATATGCGAATCTATTGTGAGAACAAAAATGGGATATTAGCAAAGAGCAGGCTGCGGGTTCCTCAATGATGGCTTGATAACAAATTACCAGCTTCCACACTGACGAGCCCAGACACTAAAACCACTAAAGCACTGATGCAAAGAATTCCCTCTAACATAATTATGAATATAGTGAACTATCCTTGATACATCGAAATGTAACGGTGCTGCCTAAATTCCCTACCTTGTACAGGTCAACTCTGAGAAGGTCAATTTATCACGGGGAAAAATAGCTTGACAGTAAACCAGCAAAATTTTACACTTGACGAGAGTTATAAAAAAAAAAAATCTTAAGTCACCTTCTGGTCGCCGCCGCCGGTGGCGAAGCGGATGCCGCCCGGCTGGATGTCGATAGAGAAGATCTGCAGGCCCTCGTGGCGAATCCAGCTCGGCTTCTCCGTAATCATCTCCTCCTCTAGGTGGCTTGCCGCTCGTCACTGCCGCCGAACCGCAGGGCCCATGCCCCGAGCAAAGGACCCAAAACCCTAGAAATCGCGCGGCCGCCCGCGGGAACCCTAGGCCGCCTCGGGACGGCTCCTGGTAGGGGGGAGGAAGGTTCGAGAAGCTTCGGGAGGGAGGGGGCGGGGGGGGGGTGGGGCGACCGATCCGGCGGCGCCCGGCGGCGGAGCGAAGAACACGGCGAGGAGGGGGATGAACCCAACCGCTCGTGTTCCTTCCTGAGAGAAAACGAAATCGAATCGAATCGAATCGAACTCGAACTCGAACTCAAACGAAACTGAAACGAAATTTAAATAAAAATCTCAAAAAAACAGAAACGAAAAGGGGAAAGGAAAAGAAAGATTCGAGAGCAGCGGCCCAGATTTCATCCCCCTTTTGTCTCTTCGTTTGCCTGCTTTGAGATTCGTGCCGGTTTAATTCGTTTTAATTTTACTGAATTGCTCCTACTGGAGTAGTACTACGTTGTTGTTGTGTTGTGCCTGCAACTGCAACTCTGCAGCCAATGTGCAAGTCTGGTTAGTGTCGGTCAGTCCTGCACCTTTGTTGCCACTTGAAACAATTTGAGTTCAAAATTCTGAAACTTGCTTGTCAGCTTTATGAAATCAAGCGTACAGGCAGCCTAGCAGAGTGGTCACAGCGTTTACGTGCGATTCATAGAGTGCTGGAAGAAGAAGAGCCAGCAGCAAGCAATTGGTTTGTTTGTTTCTTACTCATCCAACTGGAAGAGACACATTATCCACTCATCCAACTTCGTTTGAACCTGGAGTAGCATTCAGAATTCTCAGGTCTCAAACTGACGACTCTTCAAATCAACCGCAAATATTTTAGATTTTGAGATAGTAGTTGCAGCAGTAGTAGTAGTAGAAAACAAAAATTCAGTAGAGATTTGTTGGGACTTAGGAGGAAGGAGTGAAACTGTGGGCGGCGAAACTGATAAACAGTCGGCAACAGAGTCAGAGAGACAAGTCAGAAAGGCGTTTCTTTTCATTTCGTTTTCTTTAGCGGGAGAAGCACTCACAGCTTGGGCCTCATTATCATATGGGCTCAAATTTTACATTTCGGCCCATGTTTGCGTGGGCCAAATTATGCACCAGCCCAATTCCAAGTAAGTAACCAAATTGGGTAAACGAGGTTTGCGTTATTCTGATAAGTGACAAAATTGTTCTTCGGATGCTCAACTGAAGCATTTTTCACTCAATAACCAATCAAGGAAATCCAGGATTATGCTGTGACAAACGTATATACGTGTACTTACGACAGAAGAAATAACACAGATCATACAGGCAGCAACAAGAGTATGGATCGATGTTATCGACCAAGAGCAATCTTAATTAATAATAAGAGAAATGTTTAACAAGATGACTTGATTTGTTTCAACAATAAATAAAATACCTCACCACCACTAGCAGCAGAAGCTTATAAATCGATTCTGTGATGAATTATAAGCATAACTTAACACGTACGTACGGTACGGTGATCAATCAATAATGTTGGATGGATGGATGGATCGAGTATACAATCAGCTAGCTAGCTAGCTTCTTCATTGTAAGCAGCAGCAGCCAGGTAGAAGAAGAACAATAATCTTACGTATGATGGATGGATGGAATGGATCACTTGTTGAGGACGTACTTCATGACGCCGGGGATGTGGATCCTGTAGAAGTAGTCGTCCCAGTCGATGTTCTTGGGGTCGAGGTTGAAGAGGGCGGCGGCGGCGGACGACGGCGGCGTGGCCATGGACAGCCGAAGCTTCTCCATGTTGAGGTCGTCGAAGCAGGCCTTGAAGAGGGCGAAGGGGCCGTAGAGGTCGACGAGCTGCATGACGAAGGAGTACTTGCGGGAGAGGTCGGCGTAGCGGCGGGCGAAGAGGAGGCCGAAGCAGAGGAGGGAGAGGAGGCGGAGGAGCTGGAGGGGGAGCGCGTAGGCCACCGCCATGAACGCCCTGAAGGAGGCGATGGTGCGGAAGAAGTAGACGGGCCGCGTGCGCACCGCCACCCCGTCCTTCCCCACCCTAGGGTTCTCCAGGAAGTAGCGCCACCCCGTCCGGTACAGCACCGCGTACGCCGCCGGGTGCCGCATCGACGACGTCACGTGGTACACCGCCATCTCCGACGATGACCCCCTCGAGTGCGCCACCATCGCCGCCATCATCGCGTTCACCACCAGGTCACCAGGCACCTGCAATATGTATCAGCGTCAGAGATCGATCGTCAGAGATGTTGAAGGATGAATTGAAGCTATGGATACTTACTACGTCCATGATGAGGTCGAGGTCGGCGAGGAAGCAGGAGAGGCTCTGCTTGGCGTAGCCGATGATGATGGCGTCGATGGTGCGGGTGCCCTCGATCCAGCCGGGGAGAGGGTCCCTGTGGACGCTGGTGATGATGCTGGGGCGGGCGATCACCACGGGGATCCCGTGGCGGCGGCCGGCGCCGGCGACCAGCTGCTCCTGAAGCATCATCTCCCCCATGGCCTTGGTGAACACGTAGGTGTTGGGCCACCCGAAGTGGCGCGCCCTGGCTAAACCCAGATCCTTCATCGCCTTCCTCTCCGCCTTGGCGTCGCCGGCGTCCTCCAGCTGCTGCCTCTGCTCGCCCACCAGCCGCAGCTCCGTCTCGATGTCCAGGTACGTCCCCTCCCGCAGCGTCTCCCCCTCCCTCAACGCCCTCTCCTGCACCACCCCGGACCTCTCGCCACACACGTACGCTGCAATTTCATATATTTTTCTCACTAGCTTAGCTTAACTTGCATGTTAATTTGTCGAGTGTCCGTTCTAATCTCATCGATCTCAGCTTACCTGTGGAGACATGGAGGAACACCTCGAGATTGGCACACTTCTTGGCAAGCTGGCACAGGTACTTCACCCCCATCACGTTCACATCCAGAGCCACGTCGTACCTGAACATCACATATATATGGATTGATCGATCGATCGACCATTCATGTTCATGTCTGAATAATTTTCAGATCAAACAACGACCGACCTTTCGTAGAAGTTGGTGGTGGCAGCTCCATTGACGATGATGTTAAGGTCCTTGGCGAGCTCTTGCAAGGTGGATTCCTCGAGGCCCAGGTTCTGATGCATCATGTCTGCAGCCAATGGAACTACCTTTTCATCGATGAAAGACTGAAACCCCTTGCCATGCTGCTCCTTCAGAAGCCCAAACAGCTCCTTCCCTATCACCTGCAACCAGTACTCCATCACTATGCATATGCATGCCTGTAGTATACTTATAACTACACTAGTTTTCTTCAGCTAATTATATTACTCTTCAGGCATATATATGATTAATTACACACACAAGCAAGAAAGCAATCAAATTAATTAGAGAGGCAAAGCAATTAAGAGGATATCACTTGATGCTCTCATATGGGCCAAGCTGCCTGCAGAGGTTTAATAACGATGGAGGCATGCATGTCTCTTGGATTTCTCATAGGATTCATTTGGTACAAGTATCAAACATGCATCCTCCTAAGGACACAAAATGAATATGACACTACTCTGGACAAAACTACTACAAGTAAAAACCTGCAGTAATATAATGCAATTTTACAGCATTTCACTGGAGGACCTACCGAGTAAACATACTGCCCTGGCCTTCTTTTTGGGGGGTGGGGTTGGGGGGTCTAAAATTTGTAGTACAAATGTACTGAAAAGAATAATAATGAATTTATATTTCTGTCCATCACATTCAGAAAAGAGTCCTGCTGCTACGGCGGCACCATGTTTTCTTCTGACCACAATATAGCCTTTTGGTTCTGTATTACCTGTAGGCTACAGTAGACTGAATTAACTGCATGCATGATTTCAGCCACAAATACTACACCCTTCGTTCGGGAAAAAAAAAACTACTACTACATTGGGCAGGTGTTCCAATTACTATCCAGTAAATTGTAGTGGAAGTTCAGAACACAGCAAATTAGACACATGTATCAGCAAATTAGGCTCAATTTTTTTCTTCTAGTCAACAATTAATAATTCGGTAATACTACCATAGATCAATCCTTTAGTTAACAACGTCTACATAACACTTGATTATACTTCAAGTACGTACTCCACTTAAATTTTTAGACTTATATAGCTTGCTCTTATTAATCTTGTAGCAAGCTCCGGTGAGCATATGCACTGGTACATGTCTGAACCGTGTTTCCCAGCCAGAATTACAGATGCCTGCATCTGCTCCACATTGAATTTGGGTCTGCACTGCACATCGCAAGAGGAGGCCGGAGGAGGCAGGCAATTACTCCTGACCAAACCTACGTCTCACAATAACTACTCATACCTGGCCTGATCGAACGTATACCTAACATGCCGCAAGTGTCTCCGGCGCTACTTGCAGAAACATTCATGTTGCACTGCATGCATAGTACTCCATTGTTGTTATGACCTTGCAGGTTATATAATTTCCAACGGCTGGCACTGTATCCTTGCATGCTTTGAATCTTTATTGCAGGGTGAACCTTATTTGGAGTATTGATGTGACCTAATAAGCAGTGCCTTTCTATTTGTAGATGAGCTGAAATGGCGTACATTCGAGGGGAAACTGTTTTGTTATTAACATATTAATGACATCAACAGTTGTCTAGTAGCTTGATATCAATAAAGCTTCTTTATCTAAAATTTAATGTAAAGTTAGAGAGCAAGCTAGCCTTAAATTTGTCTCTTGACATGTGCATATATCTTGATTTGTTATAAATCAAGCACAGTGTATATGGTTCAGATCCTGCAGTTGACTACACTACTTCAAGATCCAGCAACTACGATGATCATATCTATGTGCTGCATGCTCTAATCTACAGTAGTAAATGGCATGTGCCGCAACTGTGGGGAGTGGGGGCAATAGGGGCCGATGATTCTCTGTCTCTAATCCGAAGTAGTTGTCCTAAGCAAAGCACTGTATACAATCATGTCATGGTTCACATCAAACTCAAAATACTCCGTATTTAGTATTGTCTTGTTTGCATGACAGGTGATAGCGTAGTTTGATGTCTCCCTTCCTAGGATATATAATTAATTAGCTTCAGTTCCAAATGTTTGAGATAAACGTGTGACCGGCCAGAGCTGTCAGAATACCAGCATGAGAAAGCTACTATTGTACATCACATGCATAATTAAGTACCACTATATCTTAATTAGTCGCCAAAAACAAATAAAAAAATCCATGAAATGAATTAAAAGAACAACACAAATTAGACGAATTAAAAATATCAACTTGCAGTTTTCTCAGTCTAAATAGAAAAAAAAATTCTACAGGTTTTTTGCAGCATGAACTCGTGTAATTAAATACAGCAGCTACTGTTCAGTTACTGATCAAGAGAGTAGAAAAGAAATAAACAAAAAAGAAGAAGAAGAAGAAGAACACTGCAACATGTATATGATTAAGCAGGCTAGATGAAGCAAAACATGCATACACAACACACCTCAGTCTGCATCCGTTGCTTAGCTGTAGCTGCATCCACCGCTCTCACAGGGAGATAGATCTTCCTGACATCAGGCTGAACCCTCAGTATCTTCTCCACCAGTACTGCATGCATATGCAACAACAAAACATGCATGAGCAAACCAAGAACAGCAGATGAACATTTATAATGCATATGCAGCACTATATTTTTCAGGACATTCAGAGAACACATATATTGGCATGCATGCATACTCTTTCCAAGAAAGCCTGTTGATCCAGTGATGAGGATGCTCTTGTTCTTGAAATATTCAATGATCCTCGCTTCATCCATTGTGCCAACCATTTTGCTCACAAATTTCTCGGTGTATATATGTGTTTGTGTGACAACTGACAAGAAACTAGGTAGTATAGAGAGATAGATATATGAAGATGGATGGCAAGAAAGGGGAAGAGAGCTAGCTAGCTATCGAAGTAGCTAGGAAAGGAAGGAAGCAATGGTGCCTGCGGTGTTAGGTGTTACACCGTACCAAAGGAGGCCAAGCTTGAATCTTGATTTATACTACACAAGAATGCAAGAGGCAAGGCACCAATGCAATGTGCTATGCATGTGTGGGGTCCAATTAGTCTGGCTTGAGTGCACGAAATTAACAACTGCACCCAGCCCTTTCAAAGCACAATGAATGATTGAATTAATCCCGGTTACCGTCTCTTCGCACCTTTCTTTTTCTTTAAAGAAAAGGTAAATTTTTAGTTTGATCAAACTATCAAAAAAACAATAAATTTAGTATGGAACATATCATAAAACTATAGATCTAAGATGAAATATTACAAAACTATATATTTAAAAATAAAATTATCACAAACTACAGGTTTAGCACTAATTTTTAATCAAAAAACTATATTGTGTATAGTTCCAATATAACAGTAGTGTGGGATTTCTTTAAAATGTAGTTTTGTGATACTTGACCTTAAATTTGTACTAGTTTCATTCATAGTAATTTTTGTGCTATGTATGTAGTTTTGTGATATAACACTTTACATTTATAGTTTCGTGATAGTTTGTTTGAAATATATTAAGTCTTATGAAATTTACTAAGTTTCTTTTTTACCGAAAAGATCACCATCAGTAGTATGTAGTCTCATTCTGTTACAACCTACTCCGTACAAAACAAGAACAGAGATGCATCGTGTATACTCCCTTTTTCTCTAAATAAGTATAATTTTAACTAGTCAAATGTATATATACATGTACGTAGAGCAGTTACATATCATCGATGCACATCGCCATCGCTTTGTGGGGATCGATAGTGAGAACTGACCAGTCGAAGTTGCGGCTAATTAATAGTATCATCTGAATGACTTAATTCCTAATTAATTTAACGCTAGCTCAACCATTCACGTTATGTGTTTTCTAACATATATGTCACTACATTGGTCACCTAATATCAGTCTTTTTTGTCACACGGACAGAGAGGAATTAATGGTACCGCGGCACTTTTTTCGTGCAGGCAGAAATGAAAAGGAAGGAAACAAGAAATGTAGTTAGCAGTAGCTGAGACAATTTTTTTTATATGCCAAAAATTTGCCAACACCGATAACGTCTGTTCTGGCATTCCAAGCATGATGCATGCAAGCTTGATCATGATGATTCATGAAATACTTTATGTCGTAATCCAGTATTTTACAGTTGGATTGGATAATGTTTTGGATATCATCAGTTATACGCGATTGTCCTAACAAAATCCTAATTAAGCAAACAAACACACTTTTGCCGTTGAACAAGTTTGGTCAGCTAATACAAGCATTTTTTTTTCTCTACTGCAATCTGCATATTGCTAGATTTCAGAGTGACTCAGCAAGAGTAGGTCAACAAGTAGAGTGTTTAGAAAGGAAAAAATATACAGTACACATCACTGAAAGGAAGTTCTTGCCTTATGCACCGAACGAGTAAATACTTGTGAGAGTGATCTACTGAAGGTATTAGCTACTAATGTACAGTAGTTTGAAGTACATAGAGATCATGATAGAAGAAATCAATGAGATCGTTGCAGCAGGACTTTCAAGAGCCATGCAACTTTTTCGCAGCAAGCTGGTCCTTGGGACCAGCTTAATTCGACTTAATTTGAGTAATCAAGTAGGAGTATACCTCGGTTGCTGTTCTTTCCTCAATTCTGCCACAACCATTCTCTATTATTTTCAAGCTGTCTGAACATCCGGGCTGCAAATGGCTGAAACTGTACAGTAGTCCAAGGAGAATATGAGAGCCACCAGATTACACATTGCAGACAGAACACTAGACAATGAAGAGCCCATAAATCTCTTCTTTTTCTTGTTGGTATCGCCTTATGCTAAACGTGTGATACACTCACTTGTGTGCCTGTGAAATGGTCAGATGGACAGAGAAGAGAAAACCTGTGCTCCCAGTTTCTCTTAAACATGAATAATGAGAAGTCAATTTCTTCAGTGACATGTTGACACCAAACAAGATTTTTAGCAAAGAAAATTGCTCAACCTTCAAAGACCTTTGGGAGGAGTAGATGTAGATGTAGGTGGAATCCCATTGTCTTCCATATTTTGGCGTTGTTTAGTTCCCAAAAACTTTTTCCCAAAAACTTTTTCTTAAAAACATCATATCGAATCTTTGGACGTATGCATTAAGTATTAAATATAGATAAATTAAAAAACTAATTACACAGTTAGAGGGGAAATCGTGAGACGAATCTTTTGAGCCTAATTAGTCCATGATTAGCCATAAGTGCTACAGTAACCTACATGTGCTAAAGACGGATTAATTAGGCTTAAAAGATTCGTCTCGCGGTTTCCATGCGAGTTATGAAATTAGTTTTTTTCATTCGTATCCGAAAAACCCTTCCGACATCCGGTCAAACGTCCGATGTGACAATCAAAAATTTTCTTTTCGCGAACTAAACATGCCCTTATCTCTCTCATGTTGGAGAGTACAAAGAGAGGAGTATCATATGATGTCAGTCAATGTTACACCAACCAACCAATTGAGGCTGCTTCACTCATCAATACTAGTATAATGGAGACATTGGCCCTATGTGGTATTGGAGATGTAGGATTTGTGAGATCCAGTTAGTAGATGCAAGGTCAGTTGAGACATCACTCGCGCAACATAGCCGGCACAATTTAATACATACGGTCCCAATGTCTGGTCGTCTGCATTGCAAAACACACAGCTCTGCCTCTGGTGGAGCCGTGGAGGAGAGCTCTCAACTTCGATTTGCTTGCTTCTGACATGTTGCATACAGTTATACGTTGTGTTACAGACTGGCAAACAGACACCTCTAGCTAATTAGTACTACACCTCTAGTTAATTAGCTCTATCTTAAATCAAACATTTATATCTTTATTATTAATTTATACAAATTTATATAGTTTGACATTGTAAGATTATGTTAAACTACACTGAGTTTTGAAAATTAATAGTCAAGATTGAAATATTTGACTTAAAATAAAGCTAAAACAAAGCAATTTAAAATGGAAGGAGTCCTACACTCCAATGCACGGTTTTTACTCCCAAGCTGGCCCAGGCTAAGTAAATAAATTTGATGAACCGACACGGTTTCGCGATGCAGCTTAACTGCGTCTCAACTAAAAGTTCTCTTCTATACTTTCCAGGCTGTGTGAAATTGAAAAGACATGCAAGCATGGCTAATCCAATTAATTGTTCATAAAAGAACAAATAAGCATACTGGTGGTGCGCACACATCGTCTTCAATTCTTCGTCTACAATTCTTTCAACAGAATCTAATTTAATACACGCGAGATCTATCCGAATCTACAGATTAATTAAAAACCTAATGCAAAGAATAATAAACAAACTGTATTTGGACTGGCAATGGGAAGAACATGTAGACAACTGCAGGGCCATCAGGAATCAGGATGAAAATCTGATCACGCAGGGGTTGCACGTACACGCACGCTCTGTTCTTCTCATCACCTCTGCCTTCTTGCATCAATCAAATATAATATATACTTCTCTGCGTGTCTTTCCCAACAAATAACATATAAAGTTGCAACGCTAAAAGAACAAAGAGCAGCATTTCTTCAATTGTGCACAAGCGCCAAATGAACCATTAGTAGCTATATTGTTGGTTTGAAAAAGATGGTTTTTGTTTGAATCGAAAAGGGGCACTTACTGGGTACTGACTAAACAAAACAACTGTGTAATTTATTTTTCCGACGACATGCACAACAACATGAAATTCTCAAAACTGAATACGGATGCTTGTTCATGTTGATATTAAACAGGGTGATCGTTGTTTATAGACTTGTATACCACCCAGCATCAAGACTTCACAACTCTTAAGTCAGAAATTATGGTGCAATTTCACACACTTTCCCTTCCTAAAGTCACAAGCCAGCTAAACAAGTCACCAGACAACCAGTAAGAGTTTGCAAAGGTGGCAGACAACCGAACACAGACAGGTAACAGGTACATCGACACTAGACGATCAGTTGTCACTAACAATTAAAGGGTTATGAGCTCAAAGTTGGAAGCATGAAGCCTCAAACCAAATGATTTGATTCTGCACACGCGCACACACTCTAAGCCAGAAGCCCATTGAACATGGTCTACATCTTCAAAGATACATTTATCATGTGAGATCACATGCAGCTACACTCTTTTGCTTCAATTATTGCTGCTTGGGATCATAAGCCTGGATTTGCTGCTCCAGCTACATCAAAACACACCATGTCAATAATTAAGATCCAGGAACCATCAACAGCAGCTTTATGATGCTCAACATGAAAGCTGAATGAGCAGCTGGAGAACGAAAATTCACATAAAAAATCAATCAAGTTCCAAAGTTTTGGTTGCTATCCAGATATTAAACTTCAATTTTTAAGCAGGTAAAGAAAAACACTGATGACTGCTTGGGACTATCCTATACAACCATCCAAACATATCCAAGAAAATTAACAAACACACCCTCAAGTAAAGCTTTCAGAAACTTCCAACATAACTTGGTGTCAACTGTCAAATCATATATGCCATAACCAAGGAGATTATCAGTCTAAAAAAAAACAAAGGACATTATTTGAGTTATATGATATACTATCGACCCTTGTGTGGCACCTCATAGTTAGTGAATTTTTGTAAGTCAAAAGCCAATGGAGAAGATAAGGTACTACCTGAAGCATAGTCTGAAACTTGTTGCGCAGATCATAGAAGTCGTTTCTCACAACAGCCAATGCCATAAGGCACCTGAAATTATGCAAGCATACCACATTATCTAAAGTTGCGAAGATAAAATAACAGAAATGAAACTGAACAGAAATTGCAAGCTTGCAACTTAGTTTTAGTTGGAAAAATCAAGCCATCTTAGAATTTGTTGCTGTATAGTAGCATATAGACAGGAGTCTGGAGCCAGCACAATTACATGCAGTGCTCCCCAAGGCGCTAGGCTAGTCAAGCCGCAGAATAGAAACTAGCACCTAACAGCCACCCAGACAGGATAAATCAGCTGGGAAGGATATATAAGAGGGTGGCACCTAGGTGCCACCAAGATGAGCTATGTCGCCACCTAGGGGATCACTGATTGCATGAGAATCGGCAAGGACTAGCATGTTGAGGCAACGAACCAAGTGCTACGGTATCAAAATATATGAAGTTGCAGGATGCAAATCAGATTGCATAAAGTATACATGCATAAAGTAGTCCCATGCGAGACATGGCTGACTATCAGGTTTAAATACATGAATGGAATTCAAACAATACAAAGATCAAAGCATGATTATGGTGTGGCATGTACATATAATAAGTTACTGAATACTCACCCATCTCTGCTTTTGTCCTGACAGAACTGACGGAACTGCATGCAAGTGAACTTCACTTTCTGAGCACCAACACTGAAATATGCCAAAAAGAACTCCAATCAGAAACACAATGCCAACTTGGTTTGATCATAGGAGTGTTTATAAAGTACTATATATAGCATGTCCTGTTCCCAAGGTGGTAGCATTGACAAATAAAGATGAGGTTTTAACGTCAACATATTCATCAACAACAATACCGGGGCAATAAGCATGGTCAATAATAGTAATACACACTCTCTACATGTCAACAAGCATTACAATAACAATTTCCATTTATTATAGAAGAAAATAAATGGCAAGGTGCTGGCAAGTAAACTGGTAAACACCCTGATACTGGGACATGAGGCTACAGAGTAAATAATCTAACCGGTATTGTTTTTTGTAATATATATGAAAAGACACCAGAAAATGAAAAATTGAAATCATTTGCCATGATTAGCAAAAATAATTTTAGTTGAAATGCCATAGCCATAGACCAATAGAGCCATTATCTATCACGCATACCATTGTTCGCTTAACAACAGTTGGCTCGAGCAGTGGGATACCACTTATCCCTACCAGTATGATGGTTGCAAACAATAAGACGGTTTTGTACCACAATTGTTTGCGAAACAAAAGGTTTGTTATGCTGCTACTTTACACATGAAAAAAGGGCACCGCAGGAACTTCATGTCAATTGAACATTTGATACACAAACCACAGGCAGGCAAGATATGCATCATCAGACAAATGGTGTACAGAAAGAAACCAAATGTAGAGTAGAAGTAGAAGGGGATGATCACCTGGCGCTGCTGCCTTTGAGCTGATGAACGTAGGCGTCGACCTTATCGAAGTTGACGACGGGTTGCTCCCTGCACAAATGTTAAAAAAAAAAAATCAAACCGATCAAACACATGGGTGGAAGCTGGAGGGGGGAAAAACTCAATCCCATGGTAACAGCACGGCAGCACGAGGGAGAAATCGAATTAGGCAAGAAAGAACAGGGGGGGGGGCACGCACAGCAGGGTGGCGATCTCGTTGATGATCCTGTCGGCGTCGTCGCAGAAGAGGGTGACGACCTCGGAGACGAAGCCCGGGGTGCCCCCCTCGTCCTGCAGCATCTGCAGCTGCTGGAACTGCTCGTCCACCAAACCCTAGATCGCGACGAGAGCACCGATTAATTAGAGCTAGAATTGGAAGCAAGCAACCGTAAGCAGTAGGTCTGGCGAAGAGGAGAGGAGAGGAGAGGGAGAAGGTAGGTGGTCACCTGGGAGAACATGGAGGAGAGGAGAGCGGTGAGCTGGTCGCGGAGAGCGGCGGCCGCCATGGGCGAGCGCAATCGGAATCGGAATCGGCGGCGAGGGTGGGGGTGGCGTGGGAAGTAGGCAGAAGAGAAGAGAAGAGTTTGGCTGAGGCTGACAGCGAAAGGCAAGGCCCCAAGAGGGGAATCTATTTATACGCGGAGGAAGAGGAAGAGGAAGAGGCCACGGCGAGGCGACGCCGGTGGTGGAGCGGATTCACGCCACTCCTCCTCCTCATTCCAAAGCTTTTTTTTTCTTTTTTTTCTTACATTATTCCCTCTCGCTTTCCTTTTTCCTTTCTCTTCTTTTTCAGGATGGTTGATTCCACGGCCTGTGGTACACGTGTACGGCTCCGCAGGTTGGAACAGGCTTTGCCATTGTGTCTCATGTGATGGACCTGTGTGTCTCATATGATTGTTTGGTTCCATCATTTTTGGGATCATATGTACCACCTCCGTTTTATCCATATTATAAGATGTTTTTATCTTTTTTTTCTATAAGGCAAACTTTAATATTAAATATATGTATTTTGATATTACATTTAATTTGCGTTGAAAATGTTCTTATGCTTTTCTGTAAAGTTGGTCAAACTTATACTTTAAAAAGTTTAACTAGAAAAAGATTCAAAACATCCTATACTAATATGAAACAGAGTGAGTATTATTTGCTAACTTTAATAGGATTTTGCCAATGCAAATGAAAAAAAAAAGTTGTCTATAGGTAGAAAAGAACCATCGTAATGCCACTTGGAACATAATTATATCCCGATGATAAAACATAACAATATGAAAAAGCTTTTGGGCAAGAAGTTATTCCGGTCGTAAAGCTCTCTAACGGCAGTGATGCGGTTATGAAATGTTTACTAATTTCAGCGGTATTTTCTCAAGGTAGCCGAATAAAATATTGTCCATAAGTAGTAAAAAAAAGCGATTCCATCATAGTGCACACAAAATGTAAATCACTTTTCCAATACAAAATGTATTACAATTGAGAAGCCTTTTGGCGCAAGAAGTTATTATGACTGTAAAGCCATTGTGATGGCATCACGATGTGACATTGTAAATTTGTTATGCGGCTATATAATAGTTACTAATTTTCTATGATTTTACCAATGTAGCCTAATAAATCATCACTAATTTAGTAGGGAAAATTGAGTGATTTCATTGCATGCCAGATGAAACAAAATTTACTTCCAATACAAAATGTATTACAACATTGAAAAGCCTTTTGGGGCAAGAAGTTATTCAGGTCATAAAGCTCTGGTTGGCAATGTTTAGTTCTTAATCATTTGTACCATACAGTGATACAGACGAACAAATTAGTTACCATCCATAAGTTTTTTTTTAAAAAAAAAGATCCTATCATAATGCAAGGCAAAACATAAATAACTTCCCAATACAAAATGTATTGCAATATTGATTTTGTTGTGGGAATACAAGATGTATTACAATACAATATTCAGAAAGCTTTGGAGCAAGAAGATATTACGTTTGGAAGACTATATATGCTGGCAGTCTGGTGTTATATTGTGAAACATTGTATAATCTTACCGGGAACGATCATATTATGCGCCCTTTTTTTTCAGTATGACTGTTTATGGAGCAAAGACTAATAAGGATGAGATTGAGTTATAATATGGGAGAAAAAGGATATGGATTTTGTATGCGCCCATCAGTCCATGGCAGTTTTACGTGACATCTTAGAGGAGCCTATTTGGCATGAAATTTGGTGGTTATCTGATTAATATATGCCGTTTTTTTTATTATTTATATAAACGGTAAGGATGAAGGAAAAGTACAAATCATGGTGGATGGGAGCAGCTAGGCAAGGCAAGGAGGGTACCTTGCCTACATGATCGGGATATGGTATGCTGGGAACGAAGATTCTGTTCCTGGCCGCAAACCGCATTATATTGTGGCTTTCGGTGAGGGCACGATTCTGCCAGTCGGTCTGTCACCACCACTTTCCGTGGATGATTGCTGATGAAATAGTGCAGTGCCTCCCCCTGGACATGACCAACCAAAGCATATGCGACACTCCTTAATTGGCTAACTGCGCAAATCGAATCCGTATTAATGGGCATATCAAATTATAATCTGTCTTGTGTATGTACAGTTCTTATAAAATGCCACTTTCTTTTGGGAGGTTGGTTTACACACTGATCTGGAGTAGTAGTATACTGGAAGATCAGATAGCTGCTGCACACTACGTTCATGACAAAACAGATCAGATTTCAGAACTCCAGAAAACTGGCAGGCACACGCCTCATTGGTCTACCCCCTCTGCCTCTCTCTCTCTTTATCTCTCTGCACAATTATGCTCTGTATTCGTCTCCACAATCGCCTATTATATCCATAAGATTTCTTCCCTTATTCGATGCTTCAGTGATGCTGTTCATGTCCTCTTCATCTAATTCAAGCGAGAAGATGGCGTTGGTGTCTTTTATGTGTTCAGAGAGTCCCAGTCTCACACCCACCATTGAACCCGCAACAGATGTCTATTCCCATAAACAACCAAAATGACAAAGGTCACATGTTAGTTATGGCAAATGCTTCACTGATACTATTTTATATATATATAAGAAAAAGACAAATCTCAAGATAAATTGAATGGATGTATACCTGGTTCAGTATGTATCTCACAGCAACAGTTGATATAGAAACACCATGCTTCAATGATACTTTCTTCAACGTCTGAAGCAAAGCCTGGAACAGGCTCCAGCCACCCCAGGCATCCACCATCTGTCACAGCTTCAACAATGAGAATAGCAAGAATTGGGAAGGAGGTAACTCGTTCAAACATAGGATATACAAAATGCTCACCCGCTTATACTTCTGCAAAGATGGGGTATTCAGAGGAGGTCCAGCAAAAGGTATAGATACATTGGTGTCAAGAAACTTCTCAGACAGCAGACCACCCATAACTGTGCCATACCTGCATCAGTAATACTGCATTAAAACTATGTGTTATGCCAAAACAGGGAGAGGGGACATGGGGTTAGGAGTAGACGTTATAAGTTTTACTCCAGTAAGCTGGCAAAGTTCTGCCATTCTTCGCTGCGGACGCATGTCAACAATAGAATGTTGAACCTGGCAATTACAACATCCCTCACTTCATTGAGTGGACCATATGATAGTTAACACAAATAAAAGGCAAATATACCATAAGGGTTAGGTGAAAATATACCTGGTTGCTGACAATTGGGATACCATTTTCTAGAATTATCTGCAGCCTGTCTGTATCGAAGTTTGTCAGAGCTACTGTCTTTATCTTACCTTCACATTGTACATAACAAAACAAGGCATGAAGCGAGAATCCGTCAGTACTGAAAAACCATGACATGCGAAAGGAAACACATAAGTAGACTAAAAATCTGATCCAAGTTCAAAATACTACCTTCCTCCTTTAGGTCTGTGATGTGTTTTAGTGCATCCAGATATCCAGGGTTTGCATAATCCCACCTATATTATGATAAAAGGTCAGCTGAATTACAAATTATGGCAGTAGTTATAGTATAAAACATTGCTGCATTTCCTCGACTGATTACACATACCGCAGGTTTTTATCATAACACCTCTCAAGTTTAGGACTTTCCACAGTACACTCAAAACTAAAAATCTGTAGTACTCTAAACTGGTCTCTACTGCAGCATAACTACGAAGCTAAGAGCAATGGTCAATGGAAGGACACAATCTTTTCTGGATGATAGATCACCAGAAACTTGATTGTGCAAACGTACAAGAAACTGTGATATAAAAGTCACTTGAGACAGGAGGTTCCTTATTGTTTAGCAACAAAACAGTTCAACATTCTAAGAATGTAGTTAATTTGCGATTAGCAGTAAATGTAATAAAACTGAGCAATAAACCAAATGGCATCCAAATGTTACTATAACTAATAAGTAGCACACAAATCCACAGAAACATACCAATGGAACTGCAGCATGTCCAAGGCAGAAACATCCATTCTCTTTCGAGATCTGTTAATATTATCCTCAACATAACTTCTGGTCATTTTAACCGGAGGTGGTACCCACTTTGTTAGCCTGCGGAGATTAATAAAATAACAATTAGAAGCAGCGGAAAAACAGCTATACACACCTCCGAGTGGCATAAAGACCATGGTAAATCGCTCTCACCCCTTGATTTCTTCAAGCAACTCAGGTGGCCGCTCACGCCGAACTCTATTGATGAAAAGGCCATACAAATCCTCTGCTGGTCCATCTGCCAAAACAGTAACCATGCCTTAAAATCAAGTTGATACCATGCTCAGTGCTCCTAGATTAAATATTAGGAGAAAGATTGATTTATTCTTATTAGTGTCAACTCTCATATATTTACACTTGCTACGCCGTGCAGCTAAATACGTCAATGAAACATGAACCTTTTCTGAACTGAACATAGCTAGAGACATGAACTTTTTTTTTTTGAAGCAAACTTTTTTTCAAAGTGAAACAAAACCATTTCCCGATTTCAATCGAATAGCATCAACTCATAACCGTGGGACAGGTGTACAGCTTATGGGCATCAATTGAGCAACAACTAAGTGCCACCAACAGATGCATAGCACCTAGTAGATGCATAGTACCAGCAACAATGTTACGCACGCTACGTGTTCGCACAAATGCCGACGATAGGGTTTAGAGTGATTAGAGGTAAAGAGGGGCAGATTGATACAGTGGTCGGCCATGTCGAAGGTGGAGAGGCCGGCGTCAGCGTAGGCGAGCATGGCGTCCACCGCGGCGTCGCGGTCGATGCGGCCCCACCCGCCGCTGGTCTGCCACATGCCGTTGAGCACCCGGCATATCGCCAGGGAGTCCCCGCGGTTGCTCACCGTACAAACCTTCGCCCCCGACGCGGCCGTCTCCACCGCCGCCGCGCCGCCGCCCCCGGAGCACCTCGCGGGACGCACCACGCCGCGGCGCGGGACAGGAGGCGCCGCCGGCGAGAGGAGGGTGCGAGCTGCCGACGACGACGACGACATGACACAGAGAGAGAGAGAGAGAGAGAGGGAGGGAGATAAGGCGCTACTGGCCTCGATTCGTCGCGGCACGGACGGGGTAAATTTCACGCAGCTACAGTACGTGTCACTACGAGTGGGCCCCACGTGTCAGTTTCCTGCGAGGTATCCAGAATGCGGCGGGAGGAGAGGCTTACAAATGTCAGCCATGTCGAAGGTGGAGAGGCCGCCGTCGGCGTACCGGAGCATGGCGTCCACGGCGGCGGGCGTCTCGTAGCGGCCCCACGACGGGCCACTCACCTGCCACATGCCGTTCACCACCCGGCACAACTCCACCGCGTCTCCCTCCTTGCTCCTCACCGTCGTCTTCCTCTCCCCCTGCGCCGCCGCCGCCGCGGCGCAGCACATCCGCCGCCGTCCATGGCTGTGGCTTCTCCTCCCCGGCGTAACAACAAGCCTGGGCGAGAGCCCAGCAGCCGCCGCCATTCCACAAAACAATACCAGTAGCTTTGAACCGTGAAAGGCAAAGGCTGTAGTAGAAAACTTCTTTATTCAAATCTCAGCAGCTATAGCAAGTGCCCATATTTAAGAGGAGTACAGAGTACAGACGCATCACAATCAGAAAACCAATAGGGGGAGTACCATGTGGAAATGTACATCAAAACTACAAAAATCTCATATTTTGCTGGCGAACTGGAGGCCTTCCTTCTTGAGCTCCTCTATGTTGGCAACGGGCGGCTGAGTTTTCGCGACCTTGGCAATGGCCTTGTTCTCATCAGGTGACCCACCCTCCAGGAAGGCACCCAACACCTTGCCGTCCTTGATCCAGTAGGACCCGAACTTGGGCTTGGCAGAGGTCGGGTCACTGTCTCCGAACAGGATGGTGTCGCCAACGTTGTCGCCGTAGAATTGCCATCCCAGGTCGAATGACCGGGAGTAGAAGTATGGCAGATAGTCATACTCCACAACGGACTCGCCGGACTCTTTTCCCTTGATTGCCTGAAACAAAGATGCAGGGTTCAAGCTAAGATATGATAACCCTATTCCGAGTTAAGTAGCCACAACTGTTGCCTGTTGGTAATCAGAATCAACACAAGCGAAGTTTTTGGATTCCAAGTGGTTTGGTAACTCCAAGGTTTTGACATTTCACTGCTCGCAAAGACAACTCAAAGAAATTAACACAAAGTTTGCACTATTCTTTAGTGCAATTTCAATATTTCATAATACATTATCAGATGACTATGCATTAGATCATTCTATTCCATGTGACAATACATTACATCGTCCAGTTTAACGTTATTCTTGCATGCAATATATTCAAATCATTATTGAATGACAGTGCAAAGAATTTTTCAGTGATCAAATTCTACCATGCTAATCAGGGATACTCATGAACACCAAGCATTTGGTGGTTTTCCGAGCAATTCAATAATTGCTTAACTCAGATCACTATCAAGTCAGATCCAAGTGCAGGCCACTATGTGGTGTTAGTCGTCACAACTACTGTATTTCAGAGAAACACAAGTGGAATGGCCTCACCTTTACAGCCTGCTCTGCAGACTTCCTAGCATGGTCAACATGTTCCACTCTCCTCAACTCATTGTACATCTTCATGGGGAAGGTGGCCACATCACCGACAGCATAGACTCCAGGAACACTTGTTTCAAAGAAAGCATCGGTCTGCATACAATTTTGGGCGTGCCAGATATTAAGGTATAAACAATAATGCACATGCTCAATTGTTTCAAGGAATGCAATCAAGATGGGCCAAATGCTATAAACGAGTTGCTTGCACAAAAAAGAAAAATAGCAAATGCACAGCTGCTGTTTTTTGATAAAGAAACGTCCAGTTGTTTACACACTGTTTCTTTGATAGAAACATCCCTAGCACCTTCTGTGGTCAAGCCTACAGGTTAAAAGCAAACTAACCTTAATTCCACCTTTCTCCTCAGCAACTTGACCTTTAAAGAGAGTAGTCAGCGGTCTGCCCCCAACACCAACAACAACAATATCAGCTTCAAGCACACTGCCATTCTTCAGGTTAACTGCTGTGACCTAGTAAATAGGGAACCGATGGAAAGCAGACAGTCATTTGCATTCACACTGAGAGCTACAGAGCTATTTTGGATTTGGAAGATGTACATACATCACCATTAGCATCAGCATCAAAACCAACAGCTACTGTACCCTTCACGATCTTAACTCCTTTGTTAGTGTAGTAACTCTCATAGAAAGCCGCGATATCAGCAGTGAAGAGACGAGGCACTACAAGAAGATATTTTACAATGTCAGATTCCCATCATCACGAAAGTTTCCACTATAAGTTCGTTTCACATCATAACTGCATGTCAATCGTATGGGCAAAACTGATTCTTTTCATCTGATGCGTAGTAGGTAGTTGAACAGTGGTTAGCGAAAATATGAGTGGTGACACTTACTGCACCAAGGTTCAGGAAACACCATCGTGACATCAAAATCATTGATCTTCAATGCAGCACTAAGTTCTAGACCAATGTAACCTCCTCCTACAATAACTGCCTTTCCACCCTTCTTTGCTTGGATAGCTGCAACCAGCTTGTCAGCATCATCTACTTCCCTTAGATATAAAATGTTGTTGGAATCAGCTCCTTGAGTACCAAAATCTGATAGCTTGATGACCTGACAAGCGGATAAAAAAAGAGCATGTAAATAACAAGTGATAGTAATGACAGCAATGAGCCGATATTAAACAAATTTCACAGTTCACAACATACTGAGGAGCCAGTTGCAATGATCAAAATCTCATATGTAAAGGTTGCTCCAACTGCACTAGTCAAAGTCTTGGAGGCAAGATCAGCTTTGACAATTTCAGTGCTCAGGATCAACTCAATGCCTGCCAACAGATGCAATCATGATTCAGGAGTATGCTTAGAATAAAAAAAAATCATTACATGACGTATTTCCACTAAGGTGAGCAAAAATAAGAATTTCAAATTGATGGTAATTAACCTCAACAATGACAAATAAATCATTAAAAGATGATATGGTGCAGAAAGCAAAATGGCAGTCAATACCTTTCTCTGAGTACCATTCGGGCAAAAGCCTCTCTCCTCCACTGCCGACACACACATGAAATCCTGGGAGTCTTGCAGCATCTATTCGCAGAGAATGCAAATGGTGTTACTTTGATCGTACAAATTGATCAATCCACATGTGACATAGAGCTGGCACAGGTCAGACACGAAAAGGCAGAACACGGTAAGTTAAGGACTTACTCTGAGGAAAGAGGTATCCCTTGCTGAGAGCAGGGCGCTCATAAGGAGCCACCTGAAAGAGAACTTTTGATAAGAAACACAATGCTGTGTTGGTGAACAAGCAAGTAAAAATTGACAGAATGACAGAACTTGCAAAGGGCAAATTAGGACTATTTCTTGCTGTGCCAAAATGGCTTTACAAGAATTGTTTCTTTTGGCCCTCAGAAGCAACTTCCATAATACAAAGTTTTTCTTTTTAGCAAAGCATTGTTGTAGGCAAAATTCCAGCAATAGATTGAAGGTTGGTTAATTGCGACATGCTTAAACAAGTGGCTTACAACAAGAACAGGTATGGTTCCAGTAAGTAAAAGTACCTAGGCAACAGAAGATTTAGTACAAACATGTGGATTCAGTAATTAGCAAACAAATAATAGTTGAGGCCTGCCACTAACATACTGATGTATGCAACTATTGCATAAGCACAACTCATTTGCCATTGTTATGCTTTGTGGATAACAAAAAACTGGCATACTAGACATCTTAACTCGATTGAAGGTGTACTACAGTTATGGATATGGAGCACCTGAACAACCTATTGAAAGAGAGAGAGCAGAAGAGAGCATTTTGTGTGTCAACCCGCGCGCGCGCGTATGTGTGTGAGAGAGAAAGAGAGCATACGGCCTCCTTGGAGATGATGGCGAGCTCCCCTGGCTTAACACCCTGCTTGGCGAACTCCCGTGCCGCATATCCCTGCAAAATATTCAGAGAGAAATTAGGAACAGGAAAAACCGTACTTTCGACGAGATCCGGAACAGACCAAGATCAAATAAAAGGATCCAAGCGAATGAATCCCACATCGATCTTGCAGTGAACTCCCGCAGCCTACTCCCCTCCCAGGGCGGCAGGGCGAGAAGGACGGAAGGAAGGTGATTTGCAAATTTGGGAGGCGCAAGCGAAAAAAGAGAGAGGGCACAGACCGCTGCGACGCCGCCGCCGAGGATGACGTACTTGAAGTGCTTCTCCGACGCCATCGCTGCCGCCAAAAACCCTAAGCCGCGCCGAGCGATCGATGAATCGAATGAAATGAGGTCGATTGGACTTGGAGAAGATTTGGGGGTAAATCCAAATGCGGGAAGGAAGGAAGGAGCGGAGTGGGGGTGGTAGTTGTTGTGTTGTGTGTTCCCAAACGGATGGAGATTCCCACCCACTCTATGTGCATACACTGATATGTGGGCCAGCACGAGCGAGCGGGTCCCACCCGTCGGTGACTGCACATTTAAGGGAACGACGGCTGACTCGGTGGAGCCTGCCTATTGGCTGGTCTCTGGCGTGGCCTTACACGTGGCGCGCTGCTGGCCGTCCGGACTTGTGATGGATGAGGAGGCGACGTCGTCCGATGGATGGATGGATCCAGAGGTTTCAGTTCCAGCTTTTGGTTTTGGAATCGGAAGAGCAGGTACTAACCAGTGCAGTCCTGTCCTCTGAAATATGGATTTTTATAAAAGTGTTCTAGAACAATCTGGACGCATGCATACACATACTCGTGTTACCACTTACCACTCTCCCTGCTTTAGAGTCAATCGAATGAACAATCGATCACATATACAGCCGCTCAAAGATAGTAGTACTGACACTCATCGGTTATACGTATTCACAATAAGTCAACACGGTTTATTAGGAAATAAAAATTAATTTATAGACAAAATTTTTATATGTTTATTCGCTAAAAAGAAATTACATTGAATATCTTAAAATTAAATTCGAAAATTTAAATTTTGGCTTTTGCTTTAGCTTATTAGGCTAATCGATGGGGCTCACTCCAATCAGCCAAATTTCCATATGCTTATCTTTTCATTTATACTTATACTTATTAGCCAAAATTTATTTTTTTTTTAAAAGAAATATATATTTAGAGTTGATTTTAGTTCATCGTAGCTTATTTTTTAGTTTTTTTCTTTTAGATCATTACGAACAGTATATAATAGTTCATTCATGGATTATTTTTTATTTGTAAATATCTCATTTCGCAATTTTCCGTTATCAGCCAAGCGATGGGGCTGCTAGAGGCCAGCTGAGCTGCTACTGGCTTGTTGCCGTGCGGAGGAGCTAGAACAAACTCATGGACTAGTTAGACGAAGGAGATAGACACCTAATTAATGGTATTGCAGTCCAGTAGTACTAGTAGATTTTTTTTCCTAATTTTTATTTTTGGAAGAATCACTGTAGTTTTGTAATTCCTCTCCCTAATCTGTTCACCGATTCACATCTGGCACCACACGGACACCGACATCACATAACTAAACGTTCTTGTATGCTGTCAAAGATCGATCAGGTTACTCGATCTTATCATACGAGCGTGCAGATGCAAGCCAGCCAGTAATTAACACAAGAACCTTCATGAATGTACAGTACTCCCTCCGTTTAAAATTATAAGACTTTATAGATGTCTAAATTCATTAACATATATATGAATATAAACAATATTAAAAAGTCTTATAATATAAAACGGAGTAAGTAGTATTGGAGTACTAGTACAAGTGAAAAGCATGGACAATCAACTAGAAAAAAATAAGAACGTAACTATGCTTAAAAGAAGCTAGTTCCTTTGGTCCATAGAAAAAAAAACTAATTCCTTTCATTTTCTGACTGAGGCACTTCGGAACTGTGTAGGGTAAAAAAGGGTTTTGGTGGAGAGATGAAGAAGAGGTATGAAGAATTGTAGCAGGTGTTTTGGAAGCCGGCATGCAGCGGCAGCTGCTGATTCTGATATATCTGATGTTTTTGGGAGAGATATATGCAAGCTGTTTCGCGGGCACTGCTCTTTGTTTGCATCTTGATAAGATCAGATGCGCGCTACCGCCACCGCCGCCATGGCTGCTTTGCTACCATCTCTTTCCACTATTCCACGTTTCCGGCCGTCGCAACTTGAGTATTACGAATCGAGCCAACCGTTGCCATCAAGTTAATTATGTTGCCCAAATGATCAAGCTACTACTCCTAATTAACTTCCATTCCATTCTAACTGTAGTGTATACTCCTCTTCCCCTAGCTAATTAACTGTCAGGTAATTAAGCTAGTACTCGATCCATAATAATTGTTCAATAATGGTCATCAGTGTCAAAGATAGAGATTGTTTAGCATTACAGCGTAACAGTGTCATAGTCCATCCCGTGTCTCTACGTCTATGACTCTATGTAAACATTTATATATCTGCATCGAATAATTGAATTGATTGATCACTTCCAAGGGAACGGAGATGACCATTCATTGACTCCACTGTACTACTGTAGAGTTAGTACTGAAATCTCTGAGGGCACCCACAATGGTTATCTATAGGCTCTCTACAAGAGATCTATGTCAGTATATTTTTCTACTTGAAAGGTATTAAATGAAGAGAGAGAGCAAAGCTATCTACTAATTTAGAGATAGTCTATAGAGAAAAACGAGGCAATGTATGAGAGAGCTATAGATACCAATGTAGACATACTATTAAGGTGGTTTACTATTAATCGAGTCTATTGCTGAGATGTACATGTTTTATAGAGAGCACCTTACTTTACCATTGCGGGTGCTCTGATGCTTCTTCAGTCCAAGTAAATGCCATTGGCTTCATTCAGTCTTTCAAGGGAGGACTCAACTTTGCATCAGAACGCATGCATATGCTGCTTTATACTCCACCACCAGTCACGAAATATAATAATTTTAAACTACAAATTTAAACAAGCACTTCTTTAAATTTAAAAGTTAGTTACTATCACTAGTAGACATAGGGGTTCCCCACCCAAAAATTCGTAAAAACAACACATTACATACTTAGTTATGCTTAATTTAGCTTAATACTTTACTCTTGGTCCTCTTTTTTCTTGACAAATACTGTATATTTCTCTGGACTATTGATCACATCACTTATACTTTATTCACGTCACTGATTACTATGATTAAATATTAATGGAGGACGACGACGAGGAGATAACCGCGGCACTGCAATGACGACCATGTTTGTGTAGGAGTAGGCACGAGTATGTCCAAGTGTGAAGTAGTCTACGGGGCTGCAATACCACCGGCATTGTATCGCGTGCATGAACACGTCAGACCTGGACTCTCCTATCACCATTTATTTGTGTTAGGCCAAAACAATTAAAACTGCAGTGGACTAAAGGATCATCGTCGTCGACGATCACTAATGACCATATCGACGTCTGCTTCGTGCTTGACTCTCTCCTCCCTCGACCAGTAATTACTTCTCTCTTCGGTCAATTTCCATTTTCATCCCGGTCAGACCCGGTCAACCAAATACTACTACTACTACATCCATTTACAAAGAGTAGTGTGATCTTACATACATGGATAAAATGTATGATGAAACATCCATGATAAGAATTGATCAGGCAAGCAAGCATATACTCAACCATGATAAGAGTATGATGTAACATCCATGATAAGAATGTACAGGTTAATTAGGAACAGGTCGGCTCTTGCATGCGACATGCGTGTCCGAATGCAGCATCCATCAGCCTGCCTACACCTGTGACCTGCAACTGTACCCATCGACACCTGGCTCACTTCGTGATGCCCATGATGGATGGATGGATGCCCCTTCAGTTTTCAGATAGCAGGAGTACTTGCTCCAGTTCAATCTGTTCCATTCCTTGCATTGCGTGGTCCATTCACACGATCGATCGTGGCCATTTGATCCTAAGATAATCATCATGACATGACAGTCGAGTTTCCCTTGTTGTACTTGTTCTTCTGTTTATTGCAAAACTTAATAAACGTTTTGATGCAAACAATTATCTTGATTAATCAAGTGGAAAGCCATCCTTTTGTTTTTTGTTTTTTTTTTTGCAAGGAAGAAAAAGAGGTTCCTGGCTGCCACGACGCAGATGACTAGCAACAGCGGGTCGGATGGTAGTAGTGGTTATCTGGTCAAATTGCACACACATGCTCACCTTAAATGCCTTCTCCCCCAACCAACCATACCTTGTATCTGCTCTTCTACCCCGATCGACTTCAATTGCATTTGCATTTGCAATTGCAACTTCACCTGAAAAAGAAAGGTAAAAATAAAGAGAAGAAACACGGTGATGCTGATGCATGGGCATAATCATGGCAGAAACATCCAAAATCACCAAGTCACACAAATCCGCCCAAAAGATGAGCCTTTGCCATTAAATTTGCCCTCTTTTCTTCTCTTCTTCTTCTTCTTTACTAGTAGCAAGTACTAGGATCAACATTCTTGCGCTGCACATGCTGCTGCAGACTCCCTTCCCATTGTGACCATCCATCCATCGATCTCTCCGAATTGAGCTCGCTGTCGCCGTCGAGCTGGCAGCAATGCGAGACTTCTCCTGCTTCGGCGACGGCGCCGTCAGCCTCGCGGCCTCAGCTGCCGCGGCCGGGGCGGGCGCCGCGCTCGACCGCTCGCTGCAGGCGGCCACGGCGACCGTCTACAAGGCCGCCTTGTCTTCGCGCAAGGAGATCCTCGTCAGGGTCATGTGGACCAGGACCGTCGCCGGTGCCGCGCCCGGCGGTGCTACTGGCCTCGCCGTCGCCGTCGACGAGGCCTCCCGGTCGTCCCCCTCGCCCGCTGCTGGTTCAGCTTCAGCAGCGACGCCTCGCCGGTCGGCCGTCGCGCTGGCGAGCTCGCCGCAGTTCCTGCACAAGAAGCGCGGGACCCGGTCGTTCGTCACCGAGGCCGGCACGGTGGTGGCCATCTACTGGGACACCACGGACGCCAAGTACCCCGCCGCCGGGTCGTCGTCCCCGGAGCCGACGCGCGACTACTACCTCGCCGTCGTCGCCGACGGGGAGCTCGCGGTCCTCCTGGGCGGGGGCGAGGCGGCGCGGGAGCTCGCACGCCGCTTCGCCGCTGCGCCGCGGCGCGCGTTGCTAAGCCGGCGGGAGCAGCTCCGCGCGGCGCCGGCTTCCCCGGCGGCGATGGCGGCGGCGGCGGTGGCGCACAGCACGCGGTGCAGGTTCCGGGCTGACGGGGCGGAGCACGAGGTGGCGGTGGTGTGCCGCGGGGAGGAGTGGGGGACTCGGGACGGGGAGGTGGCGGTGAGCATCGACGGGAAGAAGGTGGTGGAGGCGCGGCGGGTGAAGTGGAACTTCCGGGGGAACAGGACGGCGGTGCTCGGGGACGGCGCGGTGGTGGAGGTGATGTGGGACGTGCACGACTGGTGGTTCGCCGGCGGCGGCGGCGGCGGGGCGCAGTTCATGGTGAAGGCGCGCGACGGAGACGGAG